CTGCAAACACCGGGAATCCAGGACAGATGATCCCTTCAGTACCAGTGGTGAGAGTGGCGATACTGGAGGGTGGAGGAAAGGAGGGGTAGAAAGGGGAAAACGATTACAAAGATCTACATATAACCCCCTCCCTGGGGGACAGACAACAGAAAAGTGGGAGACATCAGACAGTGTAAGACATGACAAAGTAATAATTTAAGAATTATTAAGGGTACATGAGGGACGGTGGGCAGGGAGGGAGGGGGAAAATGAGCTGATACCAGGGGCTCAAGTAGAAAGCAAATGTTTTGAGAGTGATGAGGACAATAGATGTACGAATGTGGTGAACACGGTGGATGTACGTATGGATTGTCATAGGAGTTGTTCAATCCCCAAATAAAATGATTTAAAGAGAAAGAAAGGAACCAAGCTGACTTAACAAACCCAACACTCAGTGCCATCGAATCAAGTCTGACTGACAGTGACCTTGTAGGACAGGGTAGAACTGTCTTTGTGTGTTTCCGAGAGGGTAACTCTTTACAGGCGTGGAAGTCCTCATTGCTCTTCCACAGAGCAGCCTGGTAGTTTTGAGCGGCTGGCTTTGTGGTTAGCGGCCCAATTCGCCACCAGGGCGCCTAAGCGTCTACTGTGTAGCGAGGGATTTATATATATCCACAAGCCATTGAAGATTTCTAGTAGAGGAGAAACATAAGGAAAAGCTAATTTAGGAAGATTCATCTTCTGGGGAGAAAGGAAACAGAAGGGGCTTCTAGCCTATATTTAGTGAAACCCTTGTCGGGCATCCTTACTCTGTGCTCGGCTGTAGGGATCTGAAGGTGAATGATTTAAAGCACAATCGGTGCCTTGTGCTTCTCCGTAGGAACTCGCCTACTTGTGACCCAACATTAATATATGAATGTGCTATTTTGTTCTTGCTGCTCTGTTGCCCCATGGCTGTATTCCCTTTGCTTGTGTTTGTTGGAGTCTCATTGGCTGCTTCCGATCTGCTCCCTACCCGCCGCTTGTACCAGGCGAGGAGTGGCCAGTCATCAGTGTCAGCCTGACTGACCGATGCAAATGACTCCTGTGACCAGAGAATCCTCCCTGGTGAGCTGTTTGTTTGCCTTGTGCTCTCTTCCCCAGGAGTGACATGCACGTTCTTTCTCTTCTGGAAGCTGGCAGAACCAAAATATAGGCAGTGCCAAGGTGGCGGCAAAGCTGGAAGAAAGCTTGGGAGAAAACATTGTTGCTTTGGACTTGGGACAGCTGCCAGGCCCGCCATGGCGCCTGTGAAGATCAGCCACGTGGTGTCATTTTCCTCTCAGGTAGATTAACAGGATTTTTTTTTCTTGGTAGCTGGAAAGAATGAAAGGGAAATAGGAGATTTGGCTCCACTTTCAAGAAATCCTTGAATATGACAATGCCTCTTCATTGGGAGCCCAAAGCCTAATGAGGGAAACAGAGCTTGTCATGAGAGGTAAAGAGGGAGGCACATTCAGGACCCTACCCATGGGTTAGAGGGAGCTGGTTAAGCTGTGTGTCCAGTCTGCATCGCAGCTCCTGGAAAGGTAATTTGGCCACTTTGTCTCAGAGCAGGCCAGGGTACTCACAGTCACCCCTGCCCTGACAAGACACCACCGTCATCATGAAGTTCGGTAATATCCCAGATAGAGCCATAACCCCCACCCTGGGTCCTAAGACTGATCCAGGGTGGTAATTCTTAGAGACGGCTCGTCCTTTTCTCTGTTGTTGTTGCTTTATCTGTTTATTCCTTCTCGCCTCTCCTCCTGCTACTCTTAACATTTTTCAAGGAAGTTCCAATGGCATTTTGAGTAGGATGAGTCTGCGTTGTGTAGCAGTGCCATATTGCTTCCTGGTTGTTGTGCCAGTCCAAACCCCACCCGCACATTTCAGAAAGACCTTTGGAAGGAGTGACCCTGTCCCAATTAATAACTAAAATGATTGTTCTTGGTGAAATAAATTGAAAATTACCCATATCCTTAACTGTATAGTCAGCCTTAATGGTTTTTGTCTTAGACTCTGAGCCATATAAAATGCCAGTGACCCTTTAAATCTTCTAACGTAGTGGTTTTCAAACGACCTTGTGAGAACCTACCTCTCGAAGTTAAGGGGAAGAAGAAGAAGCATGTATCTAGCCCTTCCTCCGCTGGCACTTTGGCCAGAGCTGTGCTTTTATTTGTTTAAAGCCATTTATTTGTATAGGTGTGTGATGCATGTACACACACGTACATATACACTTCAGTATAAGATTTCGATTAAAAGGAAGGGGGGTTGTTGCTTTAAAACAGCAACAAAACTGTTGAAAACCATACATCTAGCCTCTTATTTTACTTCCAAATGAAACCGTTTCAGTCCAGAGAGGGAAGATGTTTTCCTCAAGACCACTTGCCTCAAAAATAGCTGCCCTTGGGTTAGAACTCAGACTTTCTCTCTCAGTACCACGAGTGTTGACTCTGAGCACATCGTTTTACGTCTGTGTCTCAGATGCACGATTAAAATGCTTGCCTTTTACCTTACAGAGTTATTTCCAGGATGAAATAGCTATCTGGGAAGGCATCTGGCTGCTCCAAGGGAAAAGGATGAGGCTTTCGGCTCCCATGACGATTTGCAGTCTTGGAGACCCTCAGGGGTACCTTGCCTTATAGGGTCACCATGAGACAGAACTGACTCAATGGCAGTGAGTTTGAGGTGGTTTTTTGTTCTTTGGAGTATAATGTGGTGGTTAAGAATTCTGAGTTCTAAGTCCTGGTTTAGAATCCTGGCTTTGCTTGATTATCTAGCCTCATGGACTTAGGTAACTTAATAAACCTGTCCAAGCTTGAGTTTATTTATCTACTAAAAAATACTAATTGTGACTAAGGAGTGCTGGTGGCACAGTGGCTTACGTATTGAACTGTTAACTCATGGGTAGCAGTTCAAACCCACCATCAGATGAAGCTTTATAGTCTGCTCCTGTAAAGACGTAGAGCCTCAGAACCCCTTGGGAGAAGTTCGCCTCTGTCCTGTAAAGACTATGAGTCCAAATCTACTTCACAGCGGTCAGTCTGGTTTTGGAAACAGCGGCTACTTCAGAGTTACTGGGAAGATGAAATGAGATAGTGTCTGTAATGCACTTAGCTCATGACCTATGGAGGTAGGTGAAAAAGAAATGCTGTGAAAACATCCAGTTCACGCTTGCGTGGGTTTATTCCAAACACCACTTGTACTGAAACGTCTCTGCAATCAAGGGGCACCTGCAGACAGGTTCTCTCCCTCATACTGTTGTCTCATTCTCATCAGCTGCCTTGTAAAGAGCAAATCCAAACAGTGGCTTCTGTGGGAATCTCCTGGCACAGAGGGCAGCTCAGAAGGTTATGGCCCCGGTTTGGGGGACCTCAAGGGGGTCATCTTGATAGATTTTCTCTAAAGGCACAGGACAAACAGAGGGGCTTCTTAGGGGGAAGTGTTTAAAATTTGAAAACTGCACTGATGAGAAAAAGACCATTTGCTGTTGTGTTTTCTAGCAAAACAATATGCCTGCTCGTTGTACAAGGGTAGCAAGGGCTGTCCTTAGAGAATGTCATTGGGAAGCTTTATCCCATGTGCCCCACAGCCCTGATCTTGCTGCCTCTTTAGACTTCCATTTGTTCCCCAAACTCAACGAACATTGAAAAGGAACATGGGTTTTGGGGTCCCTTGAGAACACCCACACTGCCATTTTCACGTGGTCTCACTCCAGGGTTAGAGAGGTGAAGCCCTGCCTTCAGTGTGTGGACCTTGACATCGAGGAACAGTGGCTTCATGGCTTGATGTCTTTGTTTAATGAAGGTGCCTAGGATTTTTAAGAAGGCTTTTCTTACTCACCCTCATATTCCTATAGGTTCCGGACTATGCTTTTTCTTTCACGTTTGGATGCCCGGAAAGGTTTGGGAGAGTCAGAGTACCTGACTCTTTTCATAGACATCCTCTTTTCCCTTGGGCTCAGTAGGGTTCCTGATTTTTGCCTCCTCTCTCTGACTTAGGATCCTAAGTATCCTGTGGAGAACCTGCTGAACCCCGACAGGCAGAGGGGTCCTTGGCTCAGCTGCCCAGAGGATAAAAGTGGGCAACTGAAGGTGGAACTGCAGCTGGAGAGAGCAGTGCCTATTGGCTACATCGATGTTGGTGAGTGAGTTCTCTGGAGCCCGAGAACCTCTGAAAGAGAGCACAGAAATAATGTGCACACACCCTCACCCCCCTCAACAACAACGTCTTGGTGAAGTCTAGCTGAGCAGCCTTCATAGACACAACCCTACCAGGGAATGACGGGGAGATACCGCCCCAGACCTTGGGGCAGATCTGTGATACTGCAGTACTCCCAGGGCTATGAGATTACAGTGTGAATGGCACCCTTTGAATCAAGCAGCGTACCTGCCATTAAACAAGATTGTGAACGCTGACAAGTAGCGTTTGTATGCACCTCCAGATGTCAGAGTCAAGAAGAGGCTGGAATGATGAATTATGCAGTTAATCTAGAAAGGTTTACTGAAGGAGATGGGAGTTTATGGCCTAAGAAGATTGTTCCTAGAAGTTTCTAGAATAAAAGACTAGCAAAGACCATTTCTTCCAGCTCTGTCCAGAGGGGTGTCAGACCCCACGAGAAAGATTTAGTAGAGACAGAATTCAGTTCTGCCTGGCCAGGTCAGAGGATAGGGGAGGGACAAGGGAAGGTTTCTGATGAGGAGCCCAGTGATCTTTCATATGATGATTTAGTGGGCTGAGGTCTCAGTTCACTTCAGCTACTGGTCCCCATGAGACTCACATGTTGTTTGACCTTTCTGGACTTCCAGTGAGCTCTAGAAGGACCCTTTCCCACCCAATTCCCTTATACCCTGTCTCCTTATTAGCTTTATTTTCCTCTCAACTTTTGTGTCCCCAGGTAACTGTGGCTCTGCTTTCGTGCAAATTGATGTGGGTCGTTCTTCCTGGTCCCTGGACAGACCTTTTGTCACCCTGCTCCCTGCAACCATGCTGATGTCCCTGGCTGATTCAAAGCAAGGGAAGAACCGCTCAGGGGTCCGCATGTTTAAAGATGGTAAAGAGGGAAAAAGCAGGGGAGAGAGACTTGTGTGTGTGTGTGTGTGTGTGTGTGTGTGTGTGTGTGTGTGTGTGTAAGAAAGAGATTTATATACAAGAGCATTTGAACATTGAGAAAACATCCCAGCCCAGTCCAGATCAAGTTCATAAGTCCTATATTAGCCCATATGTCCGATACCAATCTCTAAAGTCCTCTTCAGACTCACAAAACACATGCAATGATGCCGAATGTAGAAGATTACAGGCCAGTGGGTAGAAAGTCTTTGGATCCAGTGGCGTTGGAAACATCTCAGTGCTGGCAGGGGTCTACGTGGCTTCTCCAGCTTCCAGGGCTGCATCAGGGTGGGTCCATGTGTCGTGTCAGTTGCTATGTCTCCCAGGTGTGAGCCGCTATGATTTTATTTATGCATCACGAGATCCAGTGGAACTCAAAAGTCGAACTCTCATTTGCCATTGGTGTGTTTTTGTTCGTGCATCTGTGTCTGTAAGGGTATGAGGCGCATGTTTCCGTCTGTGATGGGAAGGCGAGTGGAGGTTAGAGAACACGTGTAGCACAGTGTTTCTTGCCTTCTGTTCTGTGCTAATCTCCGAGTGGAGTGGGTGCTGCTGAAGACGCTAGAGGCCTGATTCTGACCTCTGGGAACTTTCCATCTATAGTCAGAATTTGTCTCCTTTTTTTTTTGCAGAATTTGTCTCCATTTAAGTTGGAAACGTTTGTAATGTTATAGAGCAGCAGTTCTCAACCTGTAGGTTCAATCCCTTTGGGGGTCGAAAGACCCTTTCACAGAGGTCACCTATGACCATCGGAAAACACATATTTCCCTTGGTCTTAGGAACCGAGACATCACTCCTCTATCCGTCTCCAGGTGGGTCCACCCACATGCAAATACACCCACATATGAGTACCCGGCATGATGACATCATCGTGCCAACCCCATCCCACACACCCCGTACAAATACAAGTGTATGTGACGATTGGTGTCATAATGTACTTATGCAAACTAGTCACACGTGTAGAGAGCAGCTTCTGTGTTGAAACCAGCTACTCTGTTAAAAGCAGCTACTGTGTTGAAAGCAGCAGTATTGGAGGTAAAATGATACTTCATGAATTGTAATTACTGGGTAAATGTTTTAATCAATGCTTTAATCACTAAGCTTTAATTATGTTCAGTTTGTAACAATGAAAATACATCCTGCCTATCAGATATTACATTACGATTCATAACAATAGCAAAATTACAGTTATGAAGTAGCAACAGAAATAATCGTACGGTTGGGGGTCACCACAGCCTGAAGAGCTGCATGAATGGGTCGCGGCATTGGGAGGGTTGAGAAGCCCTGCTGTCGAGGACGAGTGGTATGACAGGCACATGAGGTGGAGAGCTGAGGTACTGGTTGGCTGGTGTGGGGAGTTGAGTGTGATGGGAGTGTGTGGTGGTGGGGGGCGTGCCATGGCATGAGGAAGCTTGAGGTGAAGTGGTCAGGGAAGAAGAGTAGCTCTGTCTCAGCTAATCCATTGGGTCACCCCCCACCCGGACATTATAAATACCTCCTCCTGAAATGAGCTGTTGACGAGGTCTCCAAAGAGGTACCCAGCAAGGATGTAGCCGTGTGCGGAACAGAGTGGAACCATGACAGAGCAGCTTGATGGTGGGAGAGCAAGGGCTTCGAGAGGGCCCTGATTGGCCTGTGTGGCTCTGCTGAGCCCTGAGCACCCTGGCCTGAGGTGGTCAGACACCAGGGGCCTTCATCCTTCCTGTAGTTGGAGTTTATTCCTTATAGTCCCACCTCCTTTCCCCTCCTTTGTCCTGACCTTCTCTTCTTTTCTCCCTTCTCCCCCTTGTGTGCGTTCTCTTCCCCTTAGATGACTTCCTGGCCTCAGCATCAAGGGAGTCATGGGACCGACTCCGCCTCACCTGCTCCCAACCCTTCACTCGTCATCAGCCCTTTGGCCTGGCCTTCTTACGGGTTCGTTCCCCTCTGGACTCCTCCGATGACCCCATAACAGGGCCCTCAGCCCCTGAGAGCTCTGGGCCGAGCCAGGTATGTATGAGGATAGAACATGGACTTACCGTCTCCCATCCCCTTTTGGTTTCTGGTGAGGAAGCTGTGGCCTGTGTGGGACAGACTGATGCATATGGGCTGTGCACGCATTCCGATGCAAGCACATGGGCTTGCTGCCCTCTCACAGGAAGAAATGAATTCTCTCCTCTCCTGTGTGGAAGAGTGAGCCTCACATCGACTATTCAGAGTTGTTGGACCATTGGTTCTTCCTGGAGACAAAGTAGACCTCATACTTCTTGGTTTTTGATGGTGGTAGCTTTTATTACACTTCGCCTCTCAGCCCCTTTTTTCCTCCACAGTTAGTAGTCTCTTCCCCCGGGAGTTTTCAGGAACGTGATACAATCCTTACCATTGGGGAACTACATACAGGAAAATTACAGAAGTTCAGCTCTTAAAGCTGGAAGAGAATTTGAGCACGTGCTCACACAAGCAAACACGCCTGTAGGAGTTATTGTGGGTACAGCGTCCCCTGGTGGTGAAGCTCTATTATTTCCTGTTTCTCCATTTTCTTCTCAGGGATCTGATGCGCAGGAGTCTGGTTCCAGCCCCTGGCTGGCGAATCCTTCCATCCGGAGGACATTCTTCCCAGATCCTCAGAAGTACGTAGCTGCCAGCGTGGCATCCTTTCAGCCACTTCAAATTCCTTTATCTGGAAGAAAAATACTACCAAGTGTGCAGAGGCGCACAAGCTCAATTAATCACACGCAGTATCCAGGACCCCCCATAGATACCACAATTCAAGGATGCTCAAGCCCCCTTATATAAAATACTATAGCATTTGTATCTCACATAGCTTCCCATATACTGAAAATCATCTCCGCATTAATGCCAGTGTAAAAGCTCATGTAATGCCTAATATACTGTTAGTACCTAATACAGTGTAAATGCCGCTTCAGTCCCTCGAAGCCTTTGAGGCCAGGAGCTTTGCTTGCTTAATTGCTCCCCACCCCAAGCCCCTGACTGCTTTCCATCTTTGGTTGGTTGAATCCATCCAGGGGCAGAGCGCTGGACACTGAGGGCCGACTCCTCTAAGCCTAGCCTGCTATATTCAAGCAGACCTCACTTCATTGTGCCTCGCTTTTATTGCACGTCACAGATAGTGTGGATGGTTTCCGTGTCGCACTGTGGTAATCCTCACAATAGTTCAAGCTTTGTCATTAACGTTGCTGCACATTTAATAGAATAGTGTACAGGGTACATGTAAGTTTTCAATGTACTGGGAAACCAAAAACATTCATGTAACTTACTTTAGTGATAGTGACTTTATTGAGGTGCTCTGTACTCACGCCCGCAATACCACCGAGGTATGCCTGCATATCAAACCAGCCTTTTCCAGGAAGCCAGAGGGCACTGACCAGTGTGAGCAGAGTGAAGTCTCTCTTCTGAATTAAGCCAAGCGCTCTCTGTGTTTGGCTACAGGAGCAACAAGAACATTGCAAAGCTCAAGAACATTCTGAAGCAGCTGCAGCCAGGGACTCTTGGCCGCTCAGCTCGCATGGTGCTTTCTGCTGCCCGCAGGGCAGCCCCAACCAATGCAGCAGATCCAGGGGACAACCACTCCGGACCAGGCTCCAGGCATCCAGATCACTCAGGTGAGGCCCATGATCTATCCTTAGCCCTGTCCTCTACCTGAATCCACCACTACGATAAAGGCTTATAAAATGGGACTTCCTGGTGGGACAGTGGGGGGAGGAAACAGGATTGTTAGTGTCTTGTCTCCAGAAGAAAAGTCCAAGTGTTGTGTAGGAATTAAAAGAACCATCAGTCTAGGAATCAGAAAAATCTTTCTCTTTGGGGGCTTCGGTTCCTTTACCTTCCAAGTGGAGGACTATGAAAGCACTTTGTGAAGTATTCTGTGCTTTACAAGGTTTCATAAATACTGAATCACTACACAAATGGTTGTTACTGGGTTTTGTTACCACTCATGTGTCCGAAATGGAGTATCTCTTGTCTGCCAGGCTCCATGTTAGGTGCTGGAGATACCACAGTGAATAAAATAGCAATGCCTCTTGCCTCCCAGAGAAACGGGTGTCCATGTCACACAAAGAAACAAAACTGAAAACGAAGTGCTTCGGAGAAGAAGCATATAGAAGGACTAGATTAGAATATCCAGGGCAAGTGTCTGGTAGGAATTAACATTTCCTCTAAAAAGTATTGACCAGTGAGGAGGTACAGTAGAGGTGAGGACATTTGCTAATGAGCTAGATTTGATGAGTATTTCTAACAGAGCCCAGACCCAAGAAGCAAAACTCGGAGAATGGTGCAAGCAGGACAAAGAGACGGAAAGTACAGGACCACAGGTGAGTAAGGCCAACCTAAGAACCCCAAACCACCGCCACAGACCATGTTGCCCTTCCTTCTCGCTTGCTTTCGTTAGGTCAGAAAGCACCTTTGTGTAGGTCCTGATCTGTTAGGGTACACATGGAGGGCAGTGGAGAAAAGATAGCCTCTTCTCCATTTTCTCAGGCTGGGAGCAGGGCAAGGAGAAAGCCCTGTAGTGCATCAGAGTCTGAAGATAAATACTTTGTATCTCATGGACAGTGTTGCCTAATTCTCCCGTATCCTGTGGTTACTTACCTTTGTGCTGTTCCTGATCTTGAAAAAAATCTGATGTATGTGTGACTTGGGGAGTTCAGCAATGCTAGAAGGAATAGACGTCAACGGAAGGAAGTTTACGCTCTAGGTGCACCTGTTTGGTTTGCTATTTGGTGTTTTTAAGGAATTACCTTGAGATGAAGCTTGCCTCTTCCATCCTCAGGCATTACTGTTCCTTGTCTTATAATAAACAAACCCTTAACACCACTGAAGAACATTAGTGTATTACTCTTGGAGTAGTATCTTCAAGGGAATGGGAGCAGTAATAATGAAACCAATCTTCCCCACCTGCTTTCCCCACTACCCAACTTGGCGTTCAGTAGACACTCATTAAAATGTGTTGCTTAGTAGTTGTTAACTGAAATTGAAGGTGAGTCTTTGGAGTAGGGCTCCAATTTTAATTGGGCATATGAGAGCGAACTCCTATCCTTTTCTCAAATGGACGATCCGACCTCTGTTTATTAAGTAAGTCAGTGGATTGGGCCTTGACTCAAGTACTCCCTTAACACAAGAACACTTTGTTCTAACAATCGGCATTCTGTGATGCTCACCTTCCCGACATGATCGCTGAAGACAAAGCAGGTACATAAGCAAATGGGGTGAAGAAAGCTGTTGGTGTCCAGCTATCAAAAGACATAGCCTCTGGCGTCTTAAAGGCTTGAAGATAAACAAGCAGCCATCTAGCGCAGAAGCAACAAAACCCACATGGAAGAAGCACACCAGCCTGTGTGATCATGAGGTGTCGATGGGATCAGGTATCAGGCATCTAAGACCCAGAATAAAACCATACTCAAGGTGAAAGGGGGGGGGGCATGGAAACCCAAAGCCCATCTGTAAACAATTGGACATCCCCTCACAGAGGGCTCAGAGGGAAGAGATAAGCCAGTCAGGGGGCAGTATAGCACCGATGAAACACAACTTTCCTCTAGCTCTTTGGTGCTTCCTTCACCCCACTATCATGACCTCAATTCTACTTTATAGATCAGATTAGACCAGAGTATGCACACTGCAACAGATAAGAGCCCGCAATACAGGAATCCAGGATAGATAAACCGCTCAGGTCGAACAAGAAGAGTAGAGATACCAGGAGGATTAGGGGAGGGTGTGGGGGGAAGGAGGGAATCGGTCACAAGAATCAATCTAGAACTACCTCCCAGGGAGATGAATAACAGAACAGTGGGAGGAGTGACGAAGGATGATATAAGATATGGAAAAAATAACCTATAACTTATCAAGAGTTCGTGGGGTGGGGGGAAAGAAATGGGGAGCTGATATCAGGGGCTCAAGTGGGAAAAGAATGCTTGGAAAATGATGATGGCAGCATATGTGCAAATGTGCTTGACACACTGGATGAATGTATGCATTGTGATGAGAGAGGTAAGAGCCGCCCATGAAAGTTTTTTAGAAAAAGAAACAACAAAACAACCCCCCAAAAAGAAAGTCCGTGGATTCCTGATACCCTCTTCCTTGTGTTAGATTCTGAAGTACCATGCTAGTTCTGCTTTGCCTGTGGATCATTTCAGATATTCTGTAATGAAAGCAATAAAGAGAGCGGGTGATATTTATCTCAGAAATGCAAGGTTGGTTCTACAAATGAAAATGGATCAATGCTATGCACTATATTACTGGACACAGACGAAAGTCACCTGATCATTTCAACAGATACAGGAGTCCGGCATTTTCCATGGTAACACTCTCAGCAGACAAAGCCCATCAATACCCTACTTAATGGTGAAGGCTGGGAGCTTTTCTCCCAAATAAGACCAGGGTGCCCCTTTATCCACGTCTGCTCAGCGTACACTGGAGACCAAGACGGAAAAGAAATCAAAGGCATCCAGATTTGAGAACAAGAAGTAAAACTTCCAATTCACGCGATAATGTACAAGGGGGTACCCCCAAATAAGCTTTCTCTTTTTCTTTTTTTAAGTAAGCTTTTTCAAAGCTATGTGTGTGTGTTTGTTATTTTCACAAAACAACCTTATCACCTTCAAATTACTCTCCATTACACTTAATACACTTGTCAAATCTGCAATTCCATTCTTGGAAACATTTTCAAACTCATCTGGATGGCTGACAGCACCTCCCTTGTTTTTTTCCTCTCTTTTCTACATTATCAAATCGCTATCCTGTTATGTCCCTCTTCATTCACAGAAACAAAAGGTTGTACGTAGTGAGGTCAGGTGAGTCGGATGCATGGGGCAAGAGAAGTATGCTGTTTTTGCCCAAAACTAGTGCACTGGATGTGCAAGTGCATGTTCATGGTGGCAAAACTGGTTTCCCATCTGCCACAAATCAGGCCTTCTTTGTCACACACTGTTACGCAACCTTTTCAGAACCTTAAACTTGATAAATAGTCTGACCTGGTGGAACGAACTCCAAATACACTATCCCCCTCACATCAAAAAAACAAATGAGTATCGGGTTTTGAGGGGGAGTACCCCTCGTATGAAGATTCTTAAGAAATCTACAAAAACCGTATTCATAAAATCAAAAAAGTAGAAACAGCCCAAATATTCATCAACTGACTGATAGATAACCAAAAGATGGTCTGTCCTGGCAGTGGAATCTTACTTTACCATGAAAAGGAACGGAGGGAGATGGGGAGGAAAAGGGGATTTCAGGAGTAACTAATGAACAGGGGAGGGGGAAGGGGCTCTAGAACAGACTGATCACATGAATTATCTTAAAGGCAATTTGACCATGGGGAGGGGTGTTCTAAAATTGATGTAGGGGTGATTGTATGATTCTCCCTGACATGATTGAATTATTCTATGATTTTTAAATGACTGTCGAGTAAAACTTCTGGGGGAATTAAAAAAGGAATGGAGTGCGAATGCATGCTACAACCCGGAAGAGCCTAAAAAACATGCTCTGTGATAGAAGCTGGTTACAAAGGATCACATACTGTGATCCCCAGAAAAACCATCACTCGCAAATCCATTGAGATGAGAGTGTGCTTAGTGGTGTCGGGCTGTGGGAAGGGGAGAATGGGGAGTAACTACTAATGGCACAGGTTTCTCTGTGGAGTGATGACAGTGTTCTGGAATTAGATACTGGTGATAATTATACAACTATATGAATATACTAAAAACCACTGCATAGGGGCGGTCAAGAAGAAGGAGAATGTTTTGAAACTGATTGTGGTAACAAGTGTCAATACTGCTTGATGTAACTGAACTATGAAATGTTACTATGTCTGTAAAAGCTCCACCCCAAAATGACAAATATATATGAATAGCACAGTAAAAAATACATTAAAGTCACTGCATAGTATGTTTTAGAGGTTTGAATTTTATGGCATATGAATTATGTTTCAGCTTTTTAAAAATCACCTTAGAGCAGTAATAGAATCTCTCTTCTCAGATGTTCAAAGGTTCAAGGACATCCCTCGAGTCTGTTACACCAAGTGGGGGGACTGGGACTCCAACTCCAGGCTCCACCTTCCCCACCCAATTCTAGGCTCTTTCAGCTCTAATGACTGGTGATCCCATCCATCCACTGCTAATATCTGGTCTTTCACTGTTTGTTTCCTCACAGATTTCTAGCTAACTCTAGCTCTCAAACAAAGGGAAGGGGCACAGCACAACAACGTGTATCGCAGCCCCACAGCAGTGGACAGAGACGACAACATAAGTCGCAGCCCCACAGCAGTGGACAGAGACGGCAACCCCAAGCCCAAAGCAGTGGTGCCCAGGAGAGTGGACAATGTCCCATGTGTGCTGGTAAGCCCCCTGGCTTGGGCATGCAGGGCTGTTATGGGACCATTGGGCATCCTTTGAGGAGGAGCTAGATCTGAGAATATTGTCAAGAACATCTACGTATCAGACAGGGCGATATTGAGCACCTGCTCAGGTTGTGTTCACTAAGGAAGGGATATGAGCCCTGCCCTTGGAAGCATGAAGTAGTTCTATAGAAAGCAGTACTGGAGAAAGCGTAGCATTTCCTTCAAGTCCACACTGAAATGGATTTTCTGAGTCTCTGTGAAGGTGGTACTTGTTTGCCAGATCCTGCCTCTTTCCGGTCATTTCCCAGCTGAGCTCCTGCAGTGCTCTGATCCCCTTAGGTTCAACAGGCCTCGCTTCCTGCTGTGTCACTGTAATGGCTTCCCCATGTAGCTTCACCACTGGGCTCTACATTCCATGAGGCAAGCCTCGGGGGTGGGTGCATCGTAAACACTCCAAGAATATTTGGTGGATACATGACTATATAGTATCTCTGTGCTATACAATTTTGGACGGTGATAAAATTCCTGTATTTTGACATCAGATGCTCCCTCAGACTACTACCTGGGAGCAGACACATTTTATTTACTTTCGCTCTCTCTCCCTCTTAGGCTCCTTCAACATTGAGGTTCTCCCCCTGCACGCTGCCACTTGTGGAGAGAGCTCCCCACCTCAGCCAGCCTCTCCTTCCTCATCACCTTCTTCATCTGAATCTGTAGTGTGGGTTTCCTCCCCTGAGAGCTCGCCGCCCATTTCCTGGATCCAGTGCCCTCTCTGTCAGTCCTACTTCTCAGCGGGAGATGTGGAAGAGCACGCCGGCATGTGCGGGGACGTCCCTTGACTTGAGCCATGAGAGCCTGTGGTTTTGCAGCCCCCTGGGAGGACTCAGGGTGGGGAGCTCTTGAAAACTGAGAAGGGCTGATGTGGCCTAGCTGCCTCTCTCTCTCTTTTACTTCATCCACTCCCTCAGGACTCCGTCCGAAGGCCCCTGTGGGCCCAGCTTACTCCCAACTCCCAGTTGTCAAGGCTGCTGTCACCATGGTGCCTGATTCTTCCAGCCCTGTCTTCTCCCCCTTGGAACTTCTGGGGTAAGATGAGTGATCTCTCTAGGGCTTTGGAACACAATCCAGGACTTCTTCCTCTTGACGAAGAGAACACAGCCTCATGCTCATTTTCCTGAGAGGAAAACAGGCCCAGTGAGGAGGAAAACGCTGCCGATCAGAGCCTGCAGTGCCCGAGGAAGGCGAGCGTGGTGCTGAGTGAGCCATAGGCCGCATTCCAGTGCCGTCTGTGGGTTCCCATTCCTGTAATCGGTCCTCGTGCTACTGTGTGACTTTATGCCCAGAAGATTCACCCTCCTGCACCCCGTCTACAAGTTAATGCTTTCCGCAATGGTTCCAGGCCTGACTCTGGACCTGGGGCAAATCCCATTCTTTATACAGGGTTAGTTGGACTTGAGAGTCTCTTAAGCCCTCTCCGGTTAGAACATTCTAACTTCTAGCCCCTCCTTTGAGCAACTATGTCTTCTCTCCCTCTTCCCAGAAGCTTTTGTTTTGTGGCACCAACTCCCCAGTCCCCGGAGTGCAGGGCATTGGGGGAGCAGCTGGTTCTGGCCGAGGGAGGGCCCAGGGCGGGGTTTTCAGTGGGTAGAAAGGAGGCCAGGCTCCATCAGGGGAGCACCCAGCAAGAGCGCAGTCCCTCAGTCTCTACCAGCATAGGTGGGTGCGGCCATGGACCCCCTCACGGTAAGAGGCCTCTGCTTCCCTCCCTCCCCCCATCCTGGTCTCATTTCTGGCTATGAGTAAAACCATAGTTTGGCCCAGAGAGGCAGCAGGGACATCTTAGCCACCAGGTAGGTGTATGGTGAGCTCCTCTGGGTAGGAAAAGAACCTCTGAAACCCTGAACGGGGGCCCAGAAGAGACAACCGGTGAGGAGGGGCTTGTTCCTGGGAACAGTGAGGGGAGAAATGTACCCCAAAAGCAAAAGAAGGCAGTTAGGGGTTTGGTGGAGGGGGGAGCATGGTGGGACCCTGCCAGGAGGCTTGTTTGGTGCTGAAGGGCTTCCGAAGAACCCAGTTCAAAGACCCTCCTGGGCGGACCCAGCTGCACCTGCCCATCAGAGATGCTCCGGGATTTCTGGGAGGAGAGCTGATGGGGAATGAAATCAACAACCTGGAGGTTAGAGATCATGTGCCTGCTTATAGACCTGGCTCCCAGCCTAGCCCCACCACCTGCTTTTATCCTCCCCACTTTTGACCCCACTGTGAGGGCAGGCAGGGGTACCTGTAGGGGGTGGAAGTTGTCCTGAGGGAAGTGCCCCAGCCCCAGCACTTTCCTCACCTGAGAGTCCACACAATAAAAAGGTAAACAACAGCGTTGTTAGTATGTGTTTGGTACAGTGGCCTGGCTGGGTGGCAAGGGATAAAGGCTTGAGAGGCGGCGGGCAAAGAGGAGCCCTACAACTTAGGGCCTTGAGGTATGGGTCCTACCTTCTCCCACTCCTTCATTCAGCCCCAGCCCAACTGGACCGAGATCGTCAACAAAAAGCTGAAGTTCCCACCCACGATCCTGGGTGCCATTCAGGAGGGGCGGCTGGGCCTGGTGCATCAGCTGCTGGAGGCCGGGCTGGAGGCCACGGGCGGGCCCCTGCGAAATGTGGAAGAGGCCGAGGATCGCTCCTGGAGGGAAGCTCTCAACCTGGCCATCCGCCTGGGCCACGAGGCCATCACCGACGTGCTGTTGGCCAATGTCAAGTTCGACTTCCGGCAGATCCATGAGGCGTTGCTAGTGGCAGTGGACACCAACCAGCCAGCTGTGGTGCGTCGCCTGCTGGCCCGCCTGGAACGGGAGAAGGGCCGCAAAGTCGACACCAGGTCCTTCTCCCTGGCTTTCTTCGACTCATCGATCGATGGCTCCCGCTTTGCCCCTGGCGTCACGCCACTCACGCTGGCCTGCCAGAAGGACCTGTATGAGATCGCGCAGCTGCTCATGGACCAGGGCCACACCATCGCCCGGCCCCACCCCGTCTCCTGCGCCTGCCTGGAGTGCGGCAACGCCCGCCGCTACGACCTGCTGAAGTTCTCCCTGTCCCGCATCAACACCTACCGCGGCATTGCCAGCAGGGCCCACCTCTCGCTGGCCAGCGAGGACGCCATGCTGGCTGCCTTCCAGCTCAGCCGCGAGCTCAGGCGCCTCGCACGCAAGGAGCCCGAGTTCAAGGTGGGTTGAACTTCCTCCTCCCTTCTCAGCACCCACGTATGCTACATGGGTCATACTGGCCGGGCCTGTGAAGGTCTTCTATGAAGTAGGAGAGCAACAGCCAAAAGGTGTGGCTAGGAAGGACTCTCAGTTTCATGCCTATATCCCTAGGGGCACCTAGTCTTGTGGTATCACAAGCCGTACCCAGAAGTCCCCAGGCGCTGAGGGTCGAGAGAGACCAATAGGTATAAGGTTGAAAAGCAGCTGGGCATTCAATGTCATAAGTTTTCTTTCTGAGTACCCGCTGGGTATCCAACCCCCACTACCCTGCAGAGCATTGTGTGCTGGGGATCAAAGGAGCCAGAGGACCGGGCTTTCAAGAGTGTGTTCACAAGCAGGGAGAGGGCCGAAGGGGGGCAACAGCGCACACCAGGACACTCAGCTTTGCTCCTTCCCTCTGGGATGCTGCCGCCTGGGCTTGCAAAGCCCTGCAGTCTGGTTCAGGAAGCAAGAGCTGTTGCGTTAAGGAAAGACTGACTCCGTGGAAGAAGCAGGAGTTGACTTAGCTATCAAAATGGGTGGTCTCATCCAGGTGAAGAGGAGCAAGGAGTAGCCCTGGAGTAGGGATGCAGTCCAGGTAAAGGTAGAGGCCAGGTGAGTGTGCGGAAGGGGTGCCCAAGAAGAGGGGGGCCCCTGCCAATAGAGGCCTGCAAGCAGGACCCAGCCAGGGCCCTTGAATACCAGCATTCCAGTTCAGTTCATCCTCATCCACTGCCACCCCGCTCTGTGCCAAGCAGACTTGGTTCCGGTCCTCAGAATTACCAGTTAGCAGGAAACAGACAAGAATGGCAAAATGAGGGCCTACGGCTGGACGTGGATTTGCCACAGGAACTGGTCAAGGACCATGTGGCCTCCCCTGGGCTGTGGCAGAGCAGGACCATGGCAAGCCCTAATTTCACAGCTAACCAGGAAAGGGGCCCTTCCAAAGGGCTTGTCACAGGTACAATTCCCCTCCTTTTTCGCAGAGGGACGCATAGCAAGGAAGCTGGGGGACAGTGCTGACCCAGCCTCCTGAGCCTGGATTCACTCCGGGCTAGTGCTTCACGTTACAACCCAGGGGGCAGGGAGTTCAAGATGAAAGAAAATGTCTGGAAACGGTGGTAGCAATTGGACACTACTGCTTGATGTGATGGAACTGCGCGATGTTCTATCTGTAAGAGCTCCCAATAAAATGATTAACTAAAAATAAACTGGGGGGTAGGGGGCGTTGAAGGTTAAGTGGCAGCAAGAACCACGAATTTGTTCCTGCATCTCCTGACACTGCTAGTAGGAGATCTCATAAGATAGGAGCACAGGAGAGGCCGGAGCAGGAGTCCAAGAGGGGCAGGAACCAGGGATGAGGAAAGGGAACTACAAAAGGATGGGCATGGCGACAGGCTTGGGGTTTCAGTGAGGGTGATGAAGCAGAGGTAGCTCCGGATGAGCATGGCGACAGGCTTGGGGTTTCAGTGAGGGTGATGAAGCAGAGGTAGCTCCGGATGAGCCAAAGCAACCGAGGAGGTAACTCATAGCCAGGAGACAGGTGAGGTGGCCGCTGACCCAAGGCAACATCCCATGAAGGAAAGCGGTGGCCCTAGGGCAGGACCCAGGCCCTAGCCCACCCAACTGCAGAGATAAATAGGGGCTGCGTCTACAAGGGGCCGGCACACACAGTCTGCTTCCCTGCAGCCAGAGTACATTGCGCTGGAGTCACTGAGCCAGGACTACGGCTTTGAGCTGCTGGGCATGTGCCGGAACCAGAGTGAGGTCACGGCGGTACTCAACGACCTGGGCGAGGGCAGCGAGACGGAGGCTGATGGCCTGGGCCAGGCCTTTGAGGAAGGCATCCCCAACCTGGCGAGGCTGCGGCTGGCCGTCAACTACAATCAGAAGCGGGTGAGTGGGGCCCTCACCCCTTGCCCTGCCACTTCTAGGTATCCTCCCTGCCAAGTCCTTTGCTGAGTCATAGGACCCTTCTTCCTCCTTGAATCTGAGCACCCTTCCAGCCAGGCTCTTGACCCCCTGGGGTCTCCAACTCCCCCTTCTTAGCATTCATCTAAGCCTTGAACCTCTGCCCAGCCCCTAGCAGACCCATCACTTACTAGAACCTTCCTCCTAGATCTTGACCCAGCTCTACATCTGATCTGCTGCTTCACTCTGGGCCAACCCTTCTCCCTTGTTCGGCCCCAATATCTCACTCTATACAGAAAGTAGACTAGACCTCTCAGGGCTTAGACAGCAAGTGATTCTAGTCACTGTCTCATTAAACACTCACACACGTACACACCCCTAACTGAAAACATGCTCCCCCTTTCAGCCTCCTCCAGAGCCTTAGTTCTCATTCTCCTCACCCGCCCTCAGATAGGCTCGCCCACCTGTGCCTTAAACAAAAGCCTTCCTGCCATCCAAGACACCAAAACCCCCTTCCCTGCTCCTCTCTCTCTCACGATCCTTCAGGCTATTCCTCTAAGAAGGCAGGGAACCGTGGGGTTCAGGGACTCAGGGACCCAACTTCACCCACCATAGGCTGACTTGTCAAGAATGTTGGTTCTAGAGGGCTCAGACAAATGCCCGAGTTCAGCTTCCCCCACAAAGAAGGAAAGCAAGGCCCAGAGTGGGAAAGGTCTGCCCACTTACCTGGCGAGTGACGCATCGGTCTTCTGGGCTGGCCGGCCCAGGGGGGAAGTCCGACTGGCTCAATCTCTGTGGCAGAGAAGTGAAGGCAGTGTACCCAAGTGTTCCTCTTGTCTCCCCCCACCTAATGTCCCCTCTACTCTGCTTAGTTCGTAGCACACCCCATCTGCCAGCAAGTCCTGTCCTCCATCTGGTGTGGGAACCTGGCCGGCTGGCGTGGAAGCACCACCCTCTGGAAGCTCTTTGTCGCCTTCCTCATCTTCCTCACCATGCCCTTCCTCTGCCTTGGCTACTGGCTGGCGCCCAAGTCCCGGGTACTGAGAATGAGATTCATGATCACTGTCATTTATTGAACACGTGTTTTCTACGGCCCTGACCTGGGCAGTTTTCCATTAAGTCACTGGAAGTGGCCTTGGAAGGTAGGTATGACAGCTCCCTAATCCGCGACACAGGGACTGCAAGGGCTCCATTTGTCCACGGTAGCAGTAAGTAGCAGAGTCAGGCTTTAAATCTGTCCCTCTGCCCCAAAGCCCAAATCCTATGCGCAGTAGTGTACTCTCCTAAAGAGGCCCTACCCCACCCTGGAAGACTTTTGGGACCTCTAGTGCACCCAGATATTTTGAATCCTTCACTCAACAAATACTTCTCTGAGATCCTCCTGTGAGCCAGGCCTTGTGCCCGGCACTAGGGATATCATGAAAAACAAGCTCTGCTAATGATTACCCAGGTAAAGAATAGAGAGAGGGATTCCAGAAAGTGGGGACCAAATGTATGAAGCCCATAAAACAGATTATAAAGCATTAGAAATTTAAAAGAATTCCATGCTGCAAAAGCCTCAGTCAAATAGAAAATGGCAATAACAACACCAATTTTAAAGAGCCTGCTCTCTAGTAGATGCTGACAAATAGTGACCCTACATTAAGGCTGTCAATCTTTGCCAATGCAGATAGCTTCAACTTTCTCTCCCTGAGTAGCTGGAGTGTTTGAACTTCCAATCTTGTGGTTAGCAGTGCAGCTCTTACCCAAGAGCACCGCCAGAGCAATAGTAAGTGCAAATGTGTGAGAAGGGCAGGGGCCAAATTGTGCAGCGCATCATAAACCATGGTGAGACATCGGGACTCTATGCCAGGGGTACTGGGGAGCCACGATCGAATTTTAATGAGGTGAGTGAAGCCATCCGTTCCGTGTTGGAGAACAGGCCTTAGTGGTACGAAGGGTGGATTGCAGAGACTCCCGGTCTGGAGAGGTGTGGGGGTGGGGGGTGGGGGGTGGGGAATGCAGGGATGCCACCCAGGTGCCTGGCCTGGATGTCTCAGTCATTTTCCGAGATGGGGACACAAGAGAAGGAGATCATTTGGGACAGGAGATAATGAATTTATTTTTAACTTGGTTGGGTTTGAGGAGAACCCCCACCCCTGCGCCCACCAAGGCAAACCTACTTCACCCGTGATTCTCAGTTTCTGATCTGAAAAATGGAACTCATAGCTACCACATCCAGTTGTAAAGGAAACAAAAGATATGAAAGTATTGGGCCTGATAGAGAGAGAGTCTCAATCCATGCCTTAACAAAAACTGAGTGAAAGAATCCAAGAAAGGGCGAGTCGTAGTGGGCGGAGCCTCCTAGGAGGGGAGAGCCATGCTCTGTTCCTCCCTCCAGCTGGGCCACCTGCTGAAGATCCCGGTACTGAAGTTCCTGCTGCACTCCGCCTCCTACCTGTGGTTCCTCATCTTCCTGCTGGGAGAGTCCCTGGTCATGGAGACCCAGCTCAGCACCTTCCGTGGCCGCAGCCAGAGCGTGTGGGAGATGTCCCTACACATGATTTGGGTCACAGGTACCTGTGTGGGGCTCTACATTTGTGGTCGCCTCCTTTGGGGTACTTCCTCACTTCCCCAGGAGAAGCGGTCCCGTGGGGGGAATCCACCGCCCCGCAGTACGAGCATCAGAGGTGACCTGATCGATGAGAACAGTCGGGAGCAACTCACTCCACCTGGTTAGGAAAGGCTTCACAGGGGTCATGCTGGACCTGAGCCCCCAAAAGGTATGAAGGCCATTCAAGGTGGGGTGGCCATGAGCGAGACAGCACATGGTGATAGCCAGGGGTCGGCAGGGTCGCTTGGTTAATGGGGTCCAGCTTCTGAGACCCTCACGCTCTCTGGCACTGAGCTCCGCCGAGAGACTGGCCCCTTCAAATCAATTGTCGGGAAATATTTGTCAACACTTATTGAGAGTGTGATTTTCTAGAAAAATCTGGCCGAAGCAGAATCATTATTTTGAAGGATAAATAAATAACAAGAGAGTTTTACTTTGTAATAAACTTGTTTCTTTTTCAGAGTGTTAGGTCTGTTAGATTCCCCCCCACCCCAAGTTAAACAACTCAGAAAACATATTAAAGATTTCAATTTGGGGGGCAGGGAAGGGAAAAAAGAGGAGCTGATACCAAGGGCTCAATAGGAAGTAAATGTTTAGAAAATAATAATGACAACATATGTACAAATATGCTTGATACAATTGATGTGTGGATTGTTATAAGAGCCTCCAATAAAATGATCTGTTAATTAAAAAAAAAAAGATTTCAATTTCGGGGAGCCCTAGAACTGATGGTGATTAAACTCATTTTAAAGGTGATTTAACCATGCAGGTGTGGGGTGTTCTAAAATTGATTGTGGTAATGATTGTACAGTTCCTGAAAAGACTGAACTATTGAATTATATGATATGTGGATTATGTGCCAATAAAACTGTAAAAAGCATTTTTTTAAATTTCAAATTAAAAAAATAAGCCACCCCCTCCCAATAAACAGCCTCCCCCAGGTGTGACCCACTCTCTGGATATCCGCTGACAGTGATCATGGCACAGGCACCTCAGAGGGTTCAACCGCTCAGGGAGGAGTATCTGTTTATTTTCACTGCAGCTCTCTGTGTACTTAAGGAAACAAATGCTTACGTTTTATCAACATACCCCCATGATGTCTTACCTCCAAACCTGTCCCCAGAGGCAGGGTCCACCCCCCGCCCCCCACAGAGACCTGAAAGGAGGAGAGCGCTGCGCCACGCGTGCTGAGCCGCTGTGCCCACTTTCAGGCTTCCTGTGGTTCGAGTGTAAGGAGGTGTGGATTGAGGGCCTGCGCAGCTACCTCCTGGATTGGTGGAACTTCCTGGATGTGGTCATCCTGTCGCTGTACCTGGCGGCCTTCGCCTTGCGCCTCCTCTTGGCTGGTCTTGCCCACATGCACTGCTGGGATGCGCCCAATGGGACTGCCTGCCATTATTTCACCACTGCTGGTGAGGGCCCCCCAACCCCAGCCCCACTCATTCAGAACCCCTAGGCCTCCTCCTCCTTGGCTCTCAGCCCCGGCCCCGTGCCTCCCACTCTCCATCCACAGAGAGAAGTGAGTGGCGCACCGAGGACCCCCAGTTCTTGGCTGAGGTGCTCTTTGCTGTCACCAGCATGCTCAGCTTCACCCGCCTGGCCTACATTCTGCCAGCCCACGAGTCGCTGGGCACGCTGCAGATTTCTATCGGCAAGATGATCGACGACATGATCCGGTGTGTACCGTCCCCTGCCAAGCCCACTCCTCCCTGACAGACTCCACTCGGTTCCAGTGTAGAATGCTCGTTCTTCACCATAGATTCCAGGGGCCTGTGAACCCCTGAAACTATGGGCAACGTTTAGAGTCTATGTGTAAATGGACAGTTCTCAGAGAAAGTCCCTAACAGCCATGGGGTTCTCAAGAGGCCCGTGGCCTGCCATCCGGGTAAGAAACACTACTAGCAGAAAGAGCCGGGTCTGGGAGTGCTGTCACTGTCTCTCTATGTGACCCTCTGGGGCCTCATTTTCCCCTTTGTGGCAAGGGCACTGAACTCAGGTCACTTTCCACCCTTCCCACTCTTAAAGCTGCTCTTTGAACCCCAGATATTCTCTGGTCTTTGTGGTGATTATCACCTAATAGTTAGAGCCAGATTGGCCTCTCACCCTACACAGAACCCAGAGTTAGTGCCTGCTCCCAGGAAGCCCCCTCCCAGAAGTGTGACTGGCGTGGGTTACCTTGGTAGGGAAAGCCCTGGTTAGATCGAAGGCCAGGTTTTGCTCAGTTTAGCTTGAAGGAGGCCCTCCCACTCCACCCCTGCACCTGACTCATCCACGCCTACTCAGAAGGACCCTGACTCCCACTCACCCCTCTACCGTCTCTCCATCTCAGCCCCTCCCTGCAAGACTGGCCCCTCCCCAACTTTGGTTGACAGAACTCAGTGCCCTTTATTGTTGCAGGGCTCTTGCTCTGGCACCCACTTTAAATCCCTTCTCACTTCCCTCCTCTGAAAAGCTCTGTTCCTAATGACAGTGGCAATGCATACTTGGCGGCACCATCCTCCCCCCTCCCCCCGCCCATGACTTCTCCCCGAGTGTGGAGACCTGCACTGACCCTTCCCTGTCACACCCTCTGCCAGGTTTATGTTCATCCTCATGATCATCCTGACCGCCTTCCTTTGTGGCCTCAACAACATCTACGTGCCCTACCAGGAGACGGAGCGGCTGGGCAAGTATGCCAGGGCAGAGGCGGGATGGGCAAATGGGCATCTGGGACCTTGAAGCTTTAGCGATCACTCTGCCTCCTCCCTCCCTGCCTCATCTATTTACCCAGTGATTAACTCCTTCATTGATTCACTCTGCTGCTAAGTCATTTGTTCATCTACTCATTCATTTATTCATCCTCTCACTTCTTCCCCAAACTTTATACTGAATAAAGAGTTGAGCCCTATGAAGCAGTGAAAAGAATAGTACGAGGACCATCTATATGCCCTCAGCTGGCTTCACTGATTGGTAACATGGCACCACATTTGCTTGATCTGTTGCTGTCTCTATCCTTTTTCTGAAGTATTTAAAAGCAAGTTACTGACATCAGTACTTCACCTCTAAGCAGTTCAGCACATCTCCTAAAAGCATAACCATAGAGCCGTTACCTCTCTCAAAGTTTTAACAGTAGTATCATGATTTTATCTATGATAACAGCCATTCACGTTTCCCCCCAATTGCGCTCCAACATTCTTCATAGCTCTTTAAAGGCCCAAGATGATCCCATCAGGACTCAGCCATTGCACTTTATTATCTGTCTCGTTTCCTTGAGTTAGAACACGCTTCTTACCTTTTCAACCTTTTCATTGTCTTTTATGACAAATGAACTTTTGTGAAGAGTGGATAAAGAGTTTTCCACAATTGGGATTTTCTCTCTTTTGGAAAAAACACAACCTAGTTGATGAGGGGAACTTCCCATCATATCATATCAGGAGGTACATGATGTCAGCAGGGTGGGTTGGTGCTGCCATTTGGTTAAGGCAGAGTTGAGCAAATCTCCCATCTTCTCCTTTTAGTAACGGGGAAACATGCTGAGACTGTGTGACTCACCCGCTCCCTTGCAAGTTCCCACTTCAGTAGCCACAGATGATCTTTACTTGAATGAGTTATTACAATGGTGGTTGCAAAATCACAGTTTTATATATTCTATATTCATTAGCTGGTATTCTTTATAAAGAAGTGCTTTCTCCTTGCCACTTTGAATATCAACCTGGAGTCCTGGTGACTCCATGTGGGTTAGGTGCTGGGCTATTAACCAAAAGGTTGGTGGTTCAAACCCACCAGATGCTCTAAGGGAGGAAGATGAGGCTATTTGACAAAGAGTTACTGCCTCAGAAACCCTCTGTGGGTCACAGTGAGTTGGAATCAACTTGATGGCAGTAATGTCATGGGATAGACTCAAAGATTTTAAAAATATAACAATAATCATTCTTTTTGATGATTAAATTGTCCTAAATATGGTCAATAATTAATTCTCATGTTTGCTTACTCATTCATTCATTCACTCACTCACTTTCTAAATTCATTATTTTTTAGTCATTCAGCCATTGGATTGCATTGGGTTTTTTGTTTCTGCTTTTTAAAAAACTTTTATTTTGATTTGGGTGAATGTTTGCAGAGCAAATTGGTTTTCCATTCAACACTTCATACCCATTTAGCTTCATGACACTGACTGCGATCCCCACAAGGCAAAAGCACTTGTCCCAGATCCCCCTTGTTCACCCTTTCCGTTTGTCCTTCTTTCCCGTCCGTCCCTTGTGCCTCCTGAGGAAACTGCTGCCCTTTGATTCTGTAAGGCGGCTTTGCCTTTGTGGTCTTGGTTTCTGGTCTCCGTTTGGTCTGGTTTGAGAAGACACCCGCCCTGCCACCTTCTTTGGAGGCGGTCCTGCTATGGAGAGCATAGGCCTGTGCCAAGGAGCTGCAGCTTGTACTGGTGATGAGCGCTGTGGAAAAGGCAGGCGCAGGCCGAGGGTGCCCTGAGGAGGAGTACCCTGCTTCTGTCTTGGGCGCTCAGCGAAGCCTTCATACCTAAAGGGGAATCTGGGCTCCTTCTGGAAGGGCTATTGAACGTCAGAAGAGACAGGGCTCCCCAGGAAAAGAGGAGGGGTAGCCCACAACTGGGAGCTACATTACTCGCTGCCATCAAGTCACCGCCGACTCTTAGTGAGCCCCTGTGGGCTCCGAGACTATGGCTGGTCATGGGAGTAGCTCTGTCTTTCTCCCACGGAGCTGCTGGTGGATTTGAACTGCTGATCATGCGGATTGCAGCCCAACAGGTAACCACTAAACCTGGAGTAAGTCCCCTATTGTGAACACGTGGAGGAAATGAGGAGTGACGAAACTGGAGAGGGTAGCAGGCACCAGGCCTTACAGCTTGAAGGCTTTGCTAAGAAGCTGAGCTTTCTCCAGCAGGTCAAGGAATTCCAAGTGGGCCCCAAGCAGTCACACAATTCTGAAGTCACATGGTTCAACTTCCTGACGGTCTCACTGATGCTGCCGAAGGAGCCACGCTAGGATATTGGTCAAGGCTTCTCGTCGCTCCAGTGTACACGTAGACTTTATTCAGATCACTTGTCTTACCCAGAATCCTTGGTTCTGTGCTGGCTTCAGGACGTCAGCTTAACGGAACGGAGCTTGCACAGTTTAAAGCTGTCCCGTGAAGCCATCGTGCTAGGGCTAACAACTACACATTCCAGTGGCTTCATGACTCCTGGTGGTTTCTGACACTGCGCAGTAGTGAGGGAAGACTTCACCTCCCTGGGTTATTCATTCATGGGTGGCAGCTTAGTAAGGCAAATATGTAGTCACTAAAAAATCTCAGGGAGGCTACATGGTGGACATCTGGACTGAGGATCGTTAGGAACATGTCATGTTGACCAGCAGAAGGGCAAGTGCACCAGACAGCGCCTCCCAGCTGTCACGTGGAAGATGAAGGAGCAGGTAAAAACATGAGGCCAGGTGGCCAGGGTGTTGCAGTAACCTGGGCCTGAGCTGGAGGGGATAAGACAATTTACATACGGTCAACAGGAGAGAGTGTCTGTGGTTAAGCCTGTGACTAGTACACATGTACATTCTGTTGAAGGGGGAACAGGGGAGTCGAGTTCAGGAAGGGCTTCCTGGAAGAGGTGGCACAGCAATTACTACCACCATCACCTATCGATCATCCAGACCAGTAGTCAGCAAACCGCAGCTCTCTGTGGTTTGTGAGCCCTATGGGGCTCTGGAGTAAAATTGAAAACAATTTAAAGGATATTATCCAGCTCATGGTGATTTCATTTGCCTGTAAAAATATTTGTATGGCTCTCAAATAATTCCTAAATTGTTATCAGGGGCAGGATTGACTCCTCAGTCTCAAAGTTTGGGATCTAGATCATGGTCTCCTTGTTCTTAAAGATACCTCCCAGGCCCCCAGACCAGGGAACACCCAAGTTCTACAACTCATTGCACCCTATGCTGCTCCTTCGTAGCACTTACTGTAATTTTCCAACGTTGTCACACATAGTGGCTACTCGCCCTCCTTGAGGACAGGGACTGCTCTTGTCTTGTTTCTGGCTCTGTCTTTAGCACGTATGGCACTACTGTGTGCGCCCTAAATGTCAGTTGACTAAAAGAATACAAGTCGGAGGTGAGAACCAGCAAAGGTTGGCGGGCGGCCAGGGCTACTCGGAAGCAGACTGCCTTTGTCAGGATCCTGGACGCCTGGGAAGATGGTCCGAGCAGAGCTCAGGCTCATCTCTCACCCGTGCCTTGTTTTCCTTTCCTTGACCTGGCGTGTTAGTTTCAACGAGACATTCCAGTTTCTGTTCTGGACCATGTTTGGCATGGAGGAGCACAGCGTGGTAGACATGCCTCAGTTTCTGGTGCCTGAATTTGTGGGCCGCGCCCTCTACGGCATCTTTACCATCGTCATGGTCATAGTGCTGCTCAACATGCTCATTGCCATGATCACCAACTCCTTCCAGAAGATTGAGGTACGTGACCTGAGGTCAGTTTAGGTAGAGCAGAGAGGGAGAGGGAGGAATAGATGGAGAAGAAGAAAGTGAAAGTGGTCGAGGCCCTTGGGTTCCTGAGACTTTGAGCAAGTTCCCCTCTTGATGCCTCATCTTCCTCATCTGTTAAAGGAGGGTCTCAGGCTACCAGAATCTCAGGACACTAAGCCCCTACCTCACGCTAACAGAGTTGTGGAACAGTAGGTCGGATTGTGAGAAGAGGGAGGGAAGCAGACGTGTGGGTTAGAACTGGAAGGGTAAAAATAAGATGGAGAGGTGAGGCAATGGAGGTGATCTGTGAGGATGGAAATCAGAATCGGGGAGAGGTCAACACTATGGAGAATAAGAGGTGTGAGCATGGGGGAAAAGAGAAGGCAGATTGAGTGGGCTAAAGGGCTGGCTACCAAAGTGATCCTTGCACCATCTCCTACTTCCTGGTCCCCAGGATGATGCTGATGTGGAGTGGAAGTTTGCTCGATCCAAGCTCTACCTGTCCTACTTCCGAGAGGGGCTGACACTGCCCGTGCCCTTCAACATTTTGCCCTCTCCCAAATCCGTCTTCTACCTTCTCAGGTGATGACCTCCGATTTCTCACCCCCTAGTCACCCAAAAATTCACCCCACATCACCCCCAGCTTCTTTACCAAAACTAATCCCTTCCCACTATCTCACTCTCAGGAGAATTGTCCGGGTCATTTGCTGTTGCTGTGCCTGCTGCAAACCCAAGGAGCCAGACTATCCCCCAGTGCCCACCTTCGTGAGTACCTTGTCGGTTGTTTCGCTCCCTGACATCTGGCCCTCAACCCTCCTGTCTATTCTGTCTTCTAATTATCGGCACATTCTTGGCTTGTCTGTCTTTTCAGTAGGTCTCCCTAGCCTCACTCTCTCCTGGGGTTTCCTTTCCCCCCCTTCTGCCTAAGCCATCTCCTAAATTTCTAACCCTATTGTCACTAGGCTTGAATAAGTTCAACTCCACCCTTCTCCCAAGCACCAACACATTCTAAACTTCAGACAAGCCTTTTATCCTAAACTGAGCCATGTATCAGAGAGGCAAGTCCTCCCACATACTTGTGAATTTAAGTTTAATAGGGGGGAAAAAAGGTTGCTAGAGGCCTGAGAAAGGGCTCTAGGACTGCAAAGGACTCAGGGACCCGTTGTATTGCCCCCTGACCAGTCTGGAATGGACGTAAAGCCCCTGCCTAATTCAGACCATCATGACTCAGGTCTGTGGAGCGTTCTAGCCCCTTAACATTGTTTACCCTGAGGATCTCTTTAAGCTGCAGTAGGAGTTAGCAAACTTTTGGGATAGAAGAGTCGGTCCTGTTTCTCACAACAGTTTAAACATTCTTCAAGAGCCATAAATGTATTTTTACAAATGAAATCACCATTATTTTAATAATATCCCTTAAAACATTTCAATTTTACTTCAGCGTCACATGTACACACCAAAAGACCCGCATATGGCTTGAGAGCTGCAGTTTGCTCACCCCTAAGCTAGAGCCTCCCTTGCACCACAAGTCATCTCTCAAGCTCTGGGGTCTCTGGATAGACAGATACTCCGGCTGGTCAGTGCTTTGTTCCACAAACACTTACACATATATTGGAAGCAGCAATATACATAACGGTATGTTGAAGAGCTGAAGTAACAGTGACTTTGTAGTTGTATAGAATGACAAGCATAGGATAGAAAGAAGCCCCAGACCCAACCTCAGGAACCAAAGAGGCTTTCCAGAGCTGCTGAAGGTAGATCACGATTCTGAAGGTAGACAGGAAGTAGAGGGAAGGATAAGATCAAGAAGGGAGCTCTGGGCTCAGGCAACAGGTTTGCGCAAAAGCACAGAGAAAGCAGGATGCGTTCAAAAAAGTCCATGCCTCCGATTCCCCAGATCCCACCCCAGCCTGCCTCCACACTTTCCTTGTGAACATCTCCCAGATCTGGAACTCCCACATCCAGGATTACCACCCTTCCGGGCTCTGTTAGGGTTACCTGAGGCACGTTTGCAGGCTGCCTGTCAGGGTTTCTTCTGCCCTTGGGCAATACTCTTGCCTCTCCTGAGGTGTAGCATTCAGTTCCCTGGCCCTTTGCTTGTCTGTCTCACTGTGATGAGCAGAGACACTACGTTCGCTAGATGACTACAGACCAACCAGACCTCAGTCCGCCACTGCATCCCCACTGAGGTCCCAGCCACCTTCGCCTCACTAGCATGCTCTGGGTTGGCCCAGTCAGGCCCCTCCCTCCTCCCTCCCTGTCCTGCAGCCTCAGGAAAAGGAAATGCTTTAATCTTCTGTGGCTGAGAAGGGCTGTCATTCTCTCTCTTAAACTCTGTCTGCTCCAGCTCTTTCTCCTTTTAAGATAGTTAATTAATTTTAATTTTAATTTTTGTTATGGAAGTAAACAGGCTAACTATAAAGTACTTAGAAAATAGAGGAAAGTATTTTAATTAAAAAATAATAATAATTTAAGAAGGTGTAAAGCCCCTACTCTACAGCAGGCACTGTGCCACCCTGTGAGGCAGGTCTGATTACCATCTCCATTTTCCACGTGGAGACCCTCACGCAGGGAGAGGCTGAATCATGGGCTGAGGCACATGGCTGCGGAATGACTGAGCTGGCCTTGACTCCATGTCTCCCAAGTCCAGTGCTCTGCCGCTGCCGCCGCCGCCGCCAGTCATCTGCCCCATCTGGTATTGTCCCCAAACCAAATCCAGACCAGAATCAGCCACTCTAGTTTGCACAAGCACGTCCATGCAGATGCCTCCCCACGTCCCCAGCTCGACCTCTCTGTAGGATTTGAAGGACAGGGTTAGCCTCGACTGACTCACCCCAAGAAAAGCAGGAGAGGAAGTTCAGCTCAGCAATGCCCTGCTCAGTCTATCTTTGACCACCCCCCCTTCACCTTCCAGCCCCCACCGTCCGTGTGTGCCTGTCCTTTTATCCACCCCTGTGAAGGCAGTGGACCCGGGTCTGGGTGTGTGGCCTCCAGGGACTGCAAGCCTGCACAGGTTCTGCCTCCGTCCTTGATTGCCTACAGGCAGAGCTGAGGACGAGAGGATGCTGGAGGTGGGCAATCTCTCCCACCCTCTTGTCTTCCTGCTCCAGGCCAATCCCGGGGCAGGAGCAGGGCCTGGGGAAGGAGAAAAAGGATCCTACCGGCTTCGAGTCATCAAGGCCCTGGTCCAGCGCTACATAGAGACGGCCCGCCGTGAGTTTGAGGAGACTCGTCGGAAAGGTTAGTTGTCCATGCCAAGCTTTCCCCCTTCCTGAGACAAATGCTCACCTCCAGACTCATAGCCCTCACCCAGCCTGCATATAGATGTCTTCCCATTCTCCCCTGCTCTTAGAAGCCCCTTGCAGTCAGTTTCCCCCTGGACGGCTCAGGAGTGCATTCTGCCGTTTCATTTACTCCCTCTCACTCACTCTCCTTCCCCATCCATTCATTCGTGTACCTTAGGGTTCGTTTCCAATACTGAATCACTTGGTTGCCGTTTCAACCAACATTTATTGTTTGTTCCAGGCGCTGCATTTGGGGGTGGGGGGCTGTGTTTCCCAAAGTGTTTCGTGCCCTCCCCTGAAGGGCACTGCAGTGACCCAAGGGGGCTGCAAAAACAGACACCTACACTTCATCCTGGATCATGGGCTGTAGTACAAACGGTTTTAATGGCCAGAGGGGTGAGGGGCACTGAGTACGTTTTGGTATTGGTTTGTTTTCTGGAAAGGGAGAAGTAGGTCAAGTGCGTTTGAAACCCTGGGGTGCTGTTGGGGAAGAAGTGGCACAGGGGGGACTTCGTTTGAGGCCTGCTCCTAATGCTCCGTACCCTGCAGACCTGGGCAACAGACTGACGGAGCTGACCAAGACCGTGTCTCGACTGCAAAGTGAGGTTGCTGGAGTGCGGCAGACCCTAGCAGAGGGACGGACACCCCGGCCCCCCGATGGTGCCAGCATCCTCTGTCGTTACATCACCCGAGTGCGGAACAGCTTCCAGAACCTGGGGCCACCCATCCCTGAGACCCCAGAGCTGACCGTGCCGGGAGTTATGGAAACCCAAGCATCTTCAGAAACAGGACCCCAGGACCCTGGAGAGTCTGGCCCCTCCTCCCCAGCTCATGTGCTGGTCCACAGGGAGCGGGAAGCAGAGGAGGCTGAGGACCTGTCCCAGGAGTCAAAGGGGGGGGTCCTAGGCAGTGGGAGGGCCCCTTCTGTTGTTTAGTAGAACAGCCTAGATGAACTCAGTACAGCTGTGTTGCTTTCTTTGCCTTAATACAATGTGTGTTCTGGATGCCAGATGTCCCCGGTGTCTGAGAATCTCTGCTTCTGGATCTCTGGAGGGTCCCCTGGCCCCCACAGAAATGGGTACCCGAGGGAGAAGGGCAGCGATGTCCCAGGGATCCATCTGGGGCTCCGGGGCCTACTCAGGGCTTCCTCAAATGCTTTGGTGGCAAGAGATCTGGATCAGGAGGCAGAGGCCTGGTTGCCAGACTAATTCTCTAACCCTGGGCCAAGGGCTTCCGTCTCTCCCTTTTCCACCCTCACCCGACAAGTGGGGTTGAGGAATTCAGCCCCCCCTCAGAGTTGCTTTGAGGGTCTTCTGACTGCTAACACTTCTGGCTTTGTGGATTACAATGTGTGGCGGTGTGTTTGTCCTTTGGTCCTGAGCCTGGCGGGCACAGAGCAGGGCAGTTGCTCCAGCCTCAAGGAAAAAAACAGTCATGAAATGTGACGCCTCTGCGCTGCAACACGATTTAATCGAGTGGCCATCATAGCACTGCCCTTGTTGTCCCCGGAAGTTCCCTGCTCAAAGTGAGGTTCCCTCCACCTTGTCTGGCCTCGGGTCCTCCCACGTGGGTGCCGAGCCTGGGGAGATGGCTGCTAGGACTAGCTCAGGAACCATGTTCTTACTTCGAAGCTCTTTGAAGGCCCTCTTCTCCGTATGAGAGCCACCGATTCCCAGGGCTCCTAAAGGGCAGGCGATGGGCTTTCAGCTCCTAGGAACTCCCCGGGGGCCAAAAGCATGGTCTTCTGAGACAGCCGAGAGAAGGCCTCCTCAAGAGGGGTGTCTGGCTGCTCCCCTTCTGCAGAGAGAAGGAAAGCAGCTGAAGGGCTTGGCAGTGGGAGTGGAAACAGCTGAGGGCGGGGGCAGATGGGTGACTCACTTGGTGCCAATACACAGTTCCGCCTCTTCTGCCCTGGAACAGACCGCATGGTGAGGCCTCCCTGTCGACAGACCCTCATATCCCAAACTTCCCTTCCCACCAGGCCCCAGCTCGGGCCCCCTACCTCTCAGTTCATCTTTCTCTTCTCCTGAGTGCAAACTGCTGGTTTCCCTTCCTCCTCTGTTCCTTTAGAACTTTCCAGGTTGTCCAGCCCTCCCTGCTCCCACCCCAGCCCATCACTCCTCCATTCTGTCCCCTGCCCGCTAATACCCCGGACCAGCGCTTCTGCCTTTGTCTTGTCAATCCCCCCTCCACCCCCGCCACCCCCACCCTCCAGCCCGCAGCCTCCTGAGAGCTGAGCAGTCTTCATCCTGGCTCTTTCCTCTGTGTGCTAACCTCCTGGACCAGGGTCTTCTCATTAAGGCCAAGGCGAAAGCAAGGCAGCACTGTCCTAGGCTGGGCTATCTAGAGCTAGCAGACGGAACCTTTACAGAACATCTATGAATGCCCGACAGCAGTCACGGGTCCAGGAAACACGGAGAGCTTGTAGTCACAGAGGCCAATAAGCCTGGCTGGTTTCTCCCCTCAACTTTCCCCCATTAACCAAGTGGGTCGCCTGGAAGACTTGGGGGGTTGCATCAGGATATCCTGCCCTATTCCACACTCCCTGTCTCCCCCATGCACAGCTCACCACCCAGGTAGGCACAGTTAAAGTGGTTGCAGGTCTGATTATAGCTCCTGAGAGTCACTAGGTTCCGGGCTCCATCCCGGAAGAACCTGGTGACCATGAAGACTTCGTGGGGAGGAATCAGCACCTCGCGCTCTTCAGGAAAGACAGACAGGGCCTGGATAGGAGCCCCATAGCAAGTCCTTAGAGAGAAGAGGGTGGCATTACTAAATTTTCGGGCCACTGCCTCATCCAGGGAACTGGAGGCAAACTGGCCAAAGCGGACGGAGTCCCCAAGCCTCTTGGGTTCAAAACGCAGGCTGCCCACACCTCGGAATACCACCTCGCCAGCTTCCCGGTCACAGCCACTGTTGGCCCGCAGCAGCTGCAGGGCCCGGGTCAGGTAGAAATGCAGCGCCTTGAAGGGGAAGTGCCTCATGTAGAGTTCCCGAGAGCCACCACCGGTTCGCACAGCCTGATTCAGCTCCGAGTACAGGGTGTTGGAGGAGTTGGTGTAGACCATGATCGCCACCGCGTGCTGGGCCTGGAAACCCGGCGGCAAGGCGAGCCCTGGGCGCCTGACTTCCCAGGCCGCCTGGGCTGCCCCCCAGGCCTTCCGCAGCAGAGCGTGGGAGGCCATCTCCTCCTGAAGCAGGGAGGCTGCCTGCTCCTCCATCTCCTCCGAGCAGCCCGCATAGGCATCATCAAAAGTGTCTGGGGCCAAGCCCAGGGACAGGACGGGGACAGCCTGGACCTATGGAAGTAACAGGAGCCACACAGGAAAGGGGGTAAGTTCAGAGCACTGGACGGGCTGGGTGCCAGATGAGCTCAGAAACGGAACCTCATTTCCATAGCTGGCTATCTGGTGTATGCGAACAGTTTGGCGAGGGTGCAGGAAGATGCTTTGGAGTCAGACAGACATGGATCCAAACCCTCACTACCATCTACGAGCCGAGCTGGGGGATCTTGTGCAAGACAGAAATTTTCTGGATTTCAAGTTTACCGCCTATGAAGTAGGGATCCATCCTAGTTCACAGGATTACTGTGAGGATTCACAGAGCTTTACTTGGCGTCAGAGAGCACCCTGCACCCTGAGGGGGCAGGGGAGGTGGTGTAGATGACCTCTAAGTGCTTTCCTGGCTTTAAGACTCAGTTCACAGAGTCTTAAATGTTTATACAAATGTTTAGCCAATGCCAACATCCCCCCTGATCCCAGACCCCTTCCTTGCTCCTCAGACACGTTCCCCCTCCTCCTCAGGGAGCTGTCCAAGATGCTCAGCTGAGATCCCAGAGTCCTCTCTGCTTTCGAAGCCCTTATCCCTGAACCTGAGGGGAGGGATGGGGAACGTCAACAGGACTGCAGCACACAGGGAGCCCAATGGTTCTGCTTCTGTGGAACCTTTGGAGGGGAGGGGAGGGGAGGGGTGTGAAATGAGGAGGGTCGGTGAGGAAGCAGGGGTGGAGGCAGAGACACTGGGAGTGGCTCAGTGAATTACCTGGGAGCTCCTGGTAGGGATGGAGGTTCCTGAGAGGAAAAAGAGTAAGCGGGGTGGGGTCCTAGGGAAGCGTCCCTACGAGATGTGCTGTATCAGCTCTTCAGGCTCTGTCCCCCAACTACCTTAGTGGCACAGGTGGTTCCCCACAGGTACCTGCCGTAGGGGTTGGAGGCCGATGCAGCTGAGGGCCATCAACAGAGCCACCCACATCTCTCCTGGGGCAGACTCAGGAGGACGAGGTCTGGTTGGGACTGGCAGAGGCTGAATCCAGGCTTCGATGGGCTGAAGGGTGGAGACCTGGACCCCTTCTTCGGTGGCGGCGTGAGGGGGTTTCAGGTCACGAACTGGGGGAAGCAAGGGCGGGCCCGGGTGTGGGCGGGCCCTGGCCTTCACAGTCCCGCAGCACCACGGAGGGTCTCAGCTCCTACTCCTGGACGCCCCATGCTGAGCGGCTGTGGTCCTCATACGGTTTTGGCCAATGCAGAGGAAAGTGGGAGGGGGCCGAGGCCCACCCAGAGGTCGCGGAAACGGAGCGAGATGGCGCTCTGGTGGCAGGGCAGCACTGTCCCTGGAGTCCGCTGATAAACAAAATACCCGAGGCTAACTATAGCCCCCGCGACAGTAACTGGACACCGCCCTTCCCCTTTGGTTTACTGGGGATTTGGGGGCAGCGATAGCGGTACAGGGGCGAGGGGAGTAACTTCCCAAGAATGGTGGGTACCTTCTCAGACACCTCTGCCGCCGAGGTGGGGAGCATACTCGGGAGACTGGACTTCTCACTCGGGTGGGCCCTGACCTAGCTGGGCCCTGGCTGCCGGACCGCTAGGCCCCAGGACCCACGTGCGGGTTCCACAGCTCCGCCCCCCTTAGAGGTCACAGCTTAGGCACTGGCTCATTTGCTTTCAATTTGCATATGGCTTCAGCTATGGGTCACGTGCTCTAGTGAATTGAGTCTTGGGTCCCTCTCCTTCCTAGACCCCTTCCCCTATCTCTCTGAGTCCATAAAGCTGGACTAGATGCAGAACTCTGCCTCAGATCCTCAGGGTCCAGCCTGCGCCCTTCCCCAGGCCCTCTCTGATGACTCCCAGACCCAAGCCATCTGAGTGTTTATAAGCACAGTCTTTCCCCCACCTCCTCTGGGCTCCTCTATAAATACCCTGGCTTTGAAGCTCCATCAGAGGTCACAGGAGAAGAGGCCAGCTGGAACGCAGTAAATGGCCAGCTGACAGCCAGGGCATTAGGCAGGCCGCCACTCTCTCACGGTGGCCGCAGGAGTTGAGGGCCGGGAATGTCAGATGCCCACTGCTGGAGCTGGGGTGCAGGGGGTAGGTGAGACCTACCCAAAGGCCTCCATTCTGATGTGCTCATCATTTAGCCCCACCCCTGTCCACCCCGCCTCTTCAGATGGTCAACCAAGTTTCTTTTTCCCCAAATCCTTCATGTGGACCAACAGGGAAGACAAATATATGGCCACACTTGAGGAAAGAAGGGAGAGAGGCCTCCCCCCACACAGTGCTTATTACACAAACACAGCTTCAAGACCAGTTCTTCTGACCTCCTCCAATGAGACTGGCCATCCCAATGTCCCCATAGCTTAGATTTTTCCGGAGTCCTTCTACTGTTTGTCATTATGACAAGCCACCTCTGGGCTACGTGGCCTGCCTGCCTCTCTCCCTGGAGGGACCTGCGTGTTCGTAGTGGCTGGAAGAGAAGAGCCTGTCTGGATGCAGCGGCCAACCGCTTTGTCCCCCTTGCTTTCTGGCTTTGGGAACTGCTTCTCCCCCGCTGAACCCTGAAACCCAAGAAAGACCCCAAGAGATGGACTCAAATGTACTCACTGGACAGAGGCCAAATTGGGACAAAAAAGGTCTCCAAGGTCACATGTCAAGCCAGTGGTGGGGACGAGAGCCACCATCTAACATCCTTTGTCCAGGAATCTCTCCTTGCCCCTAAGGGGAGTCCCACAGTTCATGTGAAAGGAACACAAGGTCGGTAGATGCTCTCTGAGGCCTTCTCGGTCCCGTCCCTCGTCTGATCAGAGCATGGGACCGAAGTCGGTGGGGAGGCTGTGGAGGGCAGTTGTTGAGCCTGGATCCTCCATGTCTCAGCCCACTTTCATTTGGCCTCAAGGATTCCCCTTTTCAGGTGAGGAGCACTGGCCCAGGGCAGACTGAGTGGAAGCTGGTGTTAGGGGAGTCCCACAGTTCATGTGAAAGGAACACAAGGTCGGTAGATGCTCTCTGAGGCCTTCTCGGTCCCGTCCCTCGTCTGATCAGAGCATGGGACCGAAGTCGGTGGGGAGGCTGTGGAGGGCAGTTGTTGAGCCTGGATCCTCCATGTCTCAGCCCACTTTCATTTGGCCTCAAGGATTCCCCTTTTCAGGTGAGGAGCACTGGCCCAGGGCAGACTGAGTGGAAGCTGGTGTTGCTGAACTTTGAGGAGCCATCCATAAATAGATGGGGAGAGTGTCACATTTCTGAGCAGCTGTTGGGGGGAGGGGACAGGGGAAATTGACAGTATAAAGGAGAAGCCTGTCCCCCACTTCCCCTGGTTGTCAGAGCAAGAGCCTAGCACCAGCTTCCCCTCCCTGGAAAAGGCTCAGGTAAGGAATTTATCACCCTCCTTCCTGGAGCTGGGCAAGGAAAGGAGTTTTTAGGGGGCATTTGGGAGCCCTGCTGGTAGTGGGCTGCTAATAGAAAAGGCCAGCAGTTTGAAACCACCAGCAGCTTCACAGAAGAAAGACAGAGCTTTCTATAACTGTAAAGTGTAGCGGTCTCAAAACTCACAAGGGCAGTTCTAGTCTTACAGGATCACTCTGAGTCGGCATCAACTTTGGTTTGGAGTTTGGGGAGATGAATGGAGTTTTGGCATACATGGAGGGAGTTGGGGGAAGGCCTCTGATTGGAGAGTCAGGGCACTCTGAGCTACTTGACAGTTTGGGGAAAGATTTGGAGGTCAATGCAGAGTATTTTCCTCAAAGGGAATATTCAGCAAGTGCCTGGATTGGGGGAAGGAAGTGCCCTGGACAAGATCAGGGCAGGGGCTATATAAAAAGAAGGACTGTCCCTGCCCCTCTACTTCTTTATCTCCTGTGTTCTCACCAAGCCGTTAGCCTGGCCCTGCCCCATGTTTCTTCAACACTGGTGGCCAAAGTCGGCAATCCACCTTCTCTACAGTAATCTACACTGTGAACTACACCCTGAAAGCCTCCCAGACGCTCAGCAAGCATTCCCTAAGGGCTCACCTGTGCCTGGTTCTCTGGCTGAGCCCTGGGAACAGGGAAAAGATCCTGCTGCACCCCTGCCCCCAAAGAGCTCACAGCCTGTGGTGGGAGACACACCCACAGAAGGTCAGCACAGTGGTTTAGAGGGTGGCAGGGGAAAGCATATGGTGATATAGGAACCCCAAGGAACCTGGAGTGGGTGACCCTGATTTAAGCCTTGAAGAAAGAGGAGCCAGGAGAAGGTCATTCTGGGTAGTATGTGCACAGCCATGGCGAGGGAAATTTAGTTCTGTACTTCGGAGGCAAAGAAGTCTGCTCAGGCGGTTGACTCTGTTCTTTGGGTACGGAGAAATTTTCCAATTTGGTTAGCAGTTCTCATCTCTTCTCTCATGACTCTCATTCTGCATCTTGACCCTTTATTTTGAGATTGCTTGGGCACAGAGGGCTTATAAACAGGTAAGTGACATGATCAGTTTGAATTTCACAAGCCCAGCTCCCCAGCTCTGTGGAGAGTGGCTCTGCAGCAGGGACAGTGAAGGCAAAGGGATCTGAGAGGAGGCAGGTGCAAACCTGAGGCAGGGCAGAGAAGGGAAATGTAGGACGCCTCCATGTTGTGCCTCACCGTGGTTGGAGACGGCATTCATGCTTGATGAGTAATTGAAAGGACAGACACCTGGGTGAGCCGCTCAGGTAACTGGCTGAATGAAACTCTTCAAACGGCAGGTTAACAGCAACTACACCGAGCCAGATAATGCCCAAAGGGAAACTTACCACAAGGATCTGAGGGCATCGCCCAGAACCCAAGGGCCAGCAGTGAAGAGCCTCCAGGAATCCAGAGGGAGCTGCACTTGGCCTGTGCTTCAGCGTCACCTCCAAGCAGCTCTCTCTCTTCTCATCCCTTTCTTTCCTCTTTCCATGGTGATCTCATCATTCCCGGAACCAGTACCTTCATGACTCCCAAGTCTCTTTTCTTCTGGTCCGGTCTGCTACCTCCTGGAGATGTCTGGCCCTGGACCGTTCCTAAGTTCCAAACAACTCATCATTTCCGCTCCAAACCTTCTCATTCATCAAATACCTTTTTCATTGAGCACCTCCTACATGCCAAGGAGCCCTGGTGGCGTGTTGGGTTGTGATCCCCAGGGTTGGCAGTTTGAAACCACCAGCAGCTCCGAGGGAGAAAGACTGGGCTTTCTACTCTCAGGAATGGCTGCAGTGGGTCACTCTGAGTCAGCGTTGACTGGATGGCAGCGCGTTTGGTTTTGATGACATGCCCCACATGAGCTTTTACAGTCCCTGCTGCTCCTCTCCTGTGCTTGCAACTTGGAGAGAGCAGACCTGCGTGCCACCCTTGATTTTCCTCTTGTTGCTTCCTATGTCATTCCCACCAAGTCCAGAAGATTCTGCCTAGTAATTCTGGGTCCACCCTACTTAGGCCACATCATCCAAAGTCCTTAGTTGGACTTCCCTGTCGTAAGACTGTGGTCTCTTTCACTGCTTTGTCTCTGCAGGGCCTGATGCTAAACTTGTCGTTGAAGGCCTGCTGTGGTCCCCTCAGCTAGCACCCCTGGGTTTATTCTTGTTCTGAGCCTCACACATCTCAGGAGATGAAGAAGACTAGATTCCTCACCATGACAGCTAAGTTCCTTCATGCCTGGCTCCATTCCGTCTTTCCAACATCCCTATTGCCCAAGCTCTGCTACACTGGAGGCAGACCTTCTCTGCGTCTAGCCTGTGAGTTGCTAACTCTAAGACATGTGCTCTTCTCATTTATGATCCCCCAAAGTTCCCTTCCCAAATCCCTCCCCTGCCCTCCTCCCTCCAAGACTAGTTCCAGTCTTATTCCCTTACTCGTCCTGCAAGACCCTTGTTCACAATTACCGCCCCCAAGAAGTCTCCCAGGTTCCTTTCAGCAAACAGGGTTCTCCCTTCTGAGCCTGCTTTTGTATCTGGTGGTTCTCTGGGCCGAGCACTGGGAGTGGCACAAATTAGGTATAGAATAATATGCATTAAGCTGTACAGATTAACATTCCCATTTTCCAGATGAGGAAAGTGAGACCCCAGAGAGACCATCACTTTGCCCGGGGCCAGCGCGAACATGTACACGCCCGCGGTGCTGACTCTGCTGCTTGTGTCCCTGGGTCTCCCGGGAGCACATCAGGTATGGTCACCTGCACTATCCCCATCCACGCAGGGTGCTGGGCTGTTTCTTGGAACCTGCAGAGTCGCACAGCAATGAGCAATGCCCAAAGCTTCCTAGATGTTAGGGACCATCCAGCTGGTAGTTCCCGACCCCCTGCCCCTCCAGGTGTGTATGGAGTTCTAAGCAACACCAGCTGCACCTCAGGGGAGGGGACAGCTGGTTATGATCCCATTCTCTCAAAGATCCCTCCTCTCAGGCCTTGATGCTCCCTGCCCTGCAGGCCCCCAACCATCCCATACGACGTAGAAATCTCTTCTCTCACGAAATGCCCCTGGACATGGCCCTGACCTCCTTCGATGATCAATATGCTGGCTGTGCAGCGGCCATGGCCGCCGCTCTCCCAGATCTCAACCACACGGAGTTCCAGGCCAACAAAGTGTATGCGGACGGCTGGGCGCTGGCCAGCAGCCAGTGGCAGGAGCGCCAGACCTGGAGTGAGGCCTGGGGCCTTAGCGCTACCCGGCCACCACAGCCGCCTCCAGGCTTCCGCGAGGAGCACGCGGTGGCCCTCCTGGCTTACACGGCCAACAGTCCCCTGCACAAGATGTTCAACGCGGCTGTGCGCGAGGCTGGTCGCTCCCAGGAACACTACCTCCGCCACTTCTCCTTTAAGACACTCCATTTCCTGCTGACGGAGGCCCTGCAGCTTCTGGGCCGAGGCCAGTGTCGCCAGGTGTTCCGCGGGGTGAGTGGGTTGCGCTTTCGGCCCACAGGACCCAGAGCCACCGTTAGGCTGGGAGGGTTTGCATCGGCATCCCTGCATAATTCCGCGGCCCAGAATTTTGGTCAGGACACCTTCTTTGGCATCTGGACCTGCCTAGGAGCTCCTATCAAGGGCTACTCCTTCTTCCCTGGGGAGGAGGAGGTGCTGATTCCCCCATTTGAGACCTTCCAGGTTATCAACGCCAGCCAATCAGCAGAGGGCCCGGCTCGCATCTACCTACGGGCCTTGAGCAAGCGCAGTACATACAACTGTGAGTACATCAAAGGTAAGGAGGGCTACGCATCTGAGCATGTGCAGAAGGTGAGCTGGCTCCAACCACGAGGGTCTTGGCAAACTCAAATCCCTACCCCACATTTTGAGGGCATAGGGGGCTAAATATTGAAATCAAACCGTGATGCGGGCTCGGCCACACCTACCAGTCTCCCCACTCCTTCCACCTAGGGGAGATGAGATATCCCGATAAGGTGCTGCTTGCGTGGCTTTGAGCCAGTTCACTCTGGTTTGACCTCCTGTGGAGGGTTTCTTTCCACTCCAGCTATACTGGATCAGAGCCTCCATCCCCACCTGATTCCGCAGGCAGATTCTCAGCATCGGGTGGGGTAGGAATGAACTGGTTGGAAGCCCTGGCTTCTTGTCCCAACATCCGTCTTCACACTGCCTGGGTGCCTTCCCTCTGGGCTGTGGGTTTCCACCTCCAATACCTTTGTTGCTTGGGAAGCTGAAGAGGCTCTTTAGCTGAAGGGAAACAGAACTGGCCAGGCCTTGCTCCAGCTAGCAGCTGGAAGGTAATGAACTTCTATTCCCAGCCCTGATATTTCGACCAGGGGTCCTCAAACTTTTTAGACAGGGGGCCAGTTCACTGTCCCTCAAACCGTTGGAGGGCCGGACTATAGTTTTTTTAAAAAAAACAACTATGAACAAATTCCTATGCAAACTGGACAAGCCGGCTGCTAAGCAGGACAGGCAGCAGTGACAAAAACACCCAGCGGGCCTGATAAATGTCCTCGGTGGGCTGCATGTGGCCCGCGGGCCATAGTTTGAGGACCCCTGATCTAGGCTGTCTGGGCAAGAAACTGATCAGAGCCTCAACCTCGGTTTCCTAGAGGAGCACAGAGATTAGACTGCATAGAATTAAGAGCTGTAGTGCGTATGCACGTGGGAGCACATGGGGTGGGGTGGGTGGATGGAAGCAGTAGTCAAGTGCTGCGCCCCTCATCTCCAGTTCAGGTTGTGTGGGGGCAGGTGTGGGGTCCTCGGGTCTGAGGCGAGTCAGGACCTACCCAGATTTTCAATCTCTGGGTTTATGGGCTGCTGTTCCCAGTGGACCAGTGTCCAAGGGCTTGTGAGGCTCAGTTTTTGTAGTCGGAGGTAGGTTGTTGGCCAGAACTTTAGACCACATCTAAGCTGGGAGAAGGTTCGGGGTGGGCTCAGTGAGGTTGGTTGCTTGAGGAAAAACACAGACTAGCTCCTCCTTGGCCGGTGTGGCCGGGAGGCAAAGGCCCAGGAGGAGGGGCAGAAATGGACCGTAGCTTTGCGAGCCCTAGTCATTGCCATCGAGTTGATTCCGATGCATAGCGCCCGTCTAGCACAGCATAGAACTGCCTCCTGTTGGTTTCGGAGGCTAACTCTTTACAGGACTAGAATGCCTCCCTCGGAATGACTCGTGCTTTCAAACTTTAGGGTTGGCAGCCCAACACGTAACCACTGTGTCACTAGGGCTCCAGCCATGGTCATCTCAACCCTACCTCTCACCATAAGAGAGCCGTTAGGGGAAAACACAGCAGCCTTCCTCAGAACAAAGCATGGTTGGACTGTCAGACCTCTGAGGCCTTCTGTCTGGAGAAGCCTTGAGCCTTTGATGCTTTGGTGTTTCTTCCCTCTAGATAAGCAGTGTAAGTCTGGGCCGTGCCGTCGTCTGGATAATTCAGGTAAGGGCTTGGTTTGGGGATGAGCAGGCAGCCCTGGGGTTGGGCCCTCACTTGGATGTGTATGGGTAGGTGGGGGGTGAAAGGAGCTGATATACTTACACTCTGGCCCAGACCTACCCTTCCCACAGGAGAAGACCCTAGAGATATTGTGGTTGTCCTAAGGGGAGGGAGGAGAGGCTGTTCCTCACGAAGTCTTCCCTTGTAGCTTGTCTTGTAGCTGCAGAGTCCACTGTTTCTGTTACAGCACTTTGGGCTCTCCTCTGACCCCCCTTCCAAGGTCAAGGCCAGGCCTTGAGTCCTAGAGAAGGCCAGGCCTTGAGTGCTAGAGACCTGGGCTCTGCCCCAGCTCTCTCTGGGCCTCATCTCTCTCTAAGTCCCATCTGTATCATAAGCAGATGGAACTAGGTGGTTCCCCAGGAACCTTGAACACCTGCTGTGCCAGAACTCACTTCTCTAGGTGGGGACAGGCTTTCCCAGAGGATTCTTCCTAGAGAAGAAAGTAGTCACAGTGGCTCTTTCACCTTGGACCTCTTCTCCCCACTCAGGCTCTGTGAACAAGGGGCAGCCTCTACTTTGTCCCCACTGTTCTCCATGACACAGTAACACCTCGAGTGCCAGGCACATCCCGTCATTAATCTTCACCACAACCCAATGGTGCATGTATCCTTATCATCCTCGTTCTACAAAAAGAGAGATGCAGGCAGCGCCGAGTTACACAGCTAGTGAAGGTATAGAATCCAAACTGGCTCTAGAACAGAGGTGGGGAGCCTTTCTTCTGCCAAGGGCCGTTTGGATATTTATGACATCATTCACAGGTCATCCTGGTCAAACCTTTCATGAGCTCACCCCCAGTGTGATGATGGCTGGGAATGGCTTCTCTTTGGTGAGGCCTGTGATACTCATGGGTACTGATGATTTCCTGAGCCTGTAGAAGGTTCGAGGGCCACACATTCCCCACCCCTATTCTAAAACAAACTCTGGAGCACCACCAGGCTGTCTCCCTCCCTTGCCTAGATTCCATCTCATTGATCTTCACCATACAAGGATCTGCTGGAACAGGGAGCACTGCCCTCATGCAGTAAAGTGAGACCCTGAGAGGAAGTGATTTGCTTGAGGCAACAGAGGGAGTTTATAGCAGAGCGAAGTCTCTGGGCTCCGAAATCCAGGCCTCTTCTTTGAGTTCCAATGGTGAAATTTTAGGCACTGAAAAAGTTTATGATTTTTGCCCCATGTACATTCAGCACTGCTCATACCAAGGTTTAGGCTGAGGAGTAAATCTAGAAAGCAGGTGATTCAGATTAATGACCTCAGGAAGTAGAATTGGGGCTCTCATGGTTGATGAAGGTGCCCTGGTGGTGTAGTGGTTATAGGTTGGGCTGCTAATTGCAAGGTCAGCAGTTCAAAACCACCAGTCGCTCTAGGAGAATGACAGGGTTTTCTACTCCTGTAAGAGTTACAGACTCAGAAACTCACAGGGGCAGTTCTACCTTGTCCTACAGGGTCACTATGAGTCGGCATCGACTTGGTAGCAGTGAGTGGGGTTTTCTTTTCGGTTTTGTGGCTGGTGAAGTCAGTAGTGCTGATCTTGAAGAGAAGATGTCCCCGGCTCTTAGACCCAGTGGGGAGTGGCTAGCTGGAAGATCTGAGGGCCAACCACTACCATGACCTTTGCTCTCCCTGCCTGAGGGTGCTATGGCTATAGCGGATCCCAGGTCTCATCACTCCTGTCCACCTTCCTCTCTCATTCTTGCACTTCACTTCCATCTCCCACTGCACTGTATGGAGTAATCTTTCCAGTTCCCTCAGCCGGCCTGTCTCCGTCCTACACTCTGTCTGTCCCCCACCACCACCATGTACCACACTTCATTTCTTTCTTCTGTTTTTCCTGCAGCCATGAGTCAGGGCCCCCTCTCTGGATGCTGGTCCCTGCTGCTACTGCTGCTGCTCTGGTTCCTTGTGGCGGAAGACTTTCCTAAGAGCCTCCTCTGAGCCAACCTCAGGACACTGGTCAAATGTGGGCCAAGATCCCTGATAATCCCACCTGCAGCGCTCTCTGAGGTTCTCTGGTAACTGCCAAGCCTTCTGGTGGAGAAATCGGAGAATGTTGGGACTAATCCCTACCCAGGGCTCCAGGAGTAAGGCTCTGGCTGGAGGTGGGGCACAAGGCTGGCAGAAAGTCACTCTGAGGTGTAAGACTTGAGCTAAGTTGGGAGAGGAAAGCACTTGCCTATGTTAACTGCTGGTATTACTCTTTTTTTTTTTGTTGAGATTCAGAATTGGTTTATTGACAATGCCCCATGTTGTCCTCTGCTCTCAGAACAGAACCCAACCCAAGTCCCTGAGGTTGGCGTCTTAGCATGGCTCCCCTCCCTGCGGGAGGGCAGAGCCAGGACCTCCCCCTGCTCCCATCAGGCCGCCTTTGGGATGGGGAGATGCCTGAGCATCACACAGCGCCACCCTCTCCGCAGCCGAGACTGCAGGGGTCACCTTTAGTGGGGTGCAGAGATGGTGTTGGCCCCGCCTATCCTGAGGCCACTCTAGAACAGTCACCCAGGGGAGGACAGTAAGCAGACCCAGACACACACTTTTGCTCCCCCCCGCTTCAAACTGTCCCCGCCACTCCCCGAGATTCAGGCCATGGCAAAGGGGCTGGCAAGGAGGGGATGGGGAGGGCTGGTATTACTCTTGATGCCTCACGTGCTCGCTTGTTGAGCTCCTATTGAATCCTCCAGGAAATCTTTTATGGGCTCTCCCACCATCTGGTGGTCCTTGGGTGCTCCCCTCTAGCATGTGTCCATGCCTCAGCTTACTGAGGGCAGAGCCTGGGTCTGATCCATCAGAGTCCCAGGGCCTCACAAATGGGAGGTGCTAAGAAATGAATGGAAATCAGAATCGAACAAATACACCACCTACTCCTCACTTATCAACTCTCTCATTATCCAATACTTCACATTTACAACAATAGTAAAAACCTACCACCCGACTATTTTGCACATAAGGATGTAAGGCTAACAGGAATGAATGACAAGGTACGAGGCAAAAATAACACTGGCCATGAGGGTTAAGGTTATATGTCAACTTGGCTGGGCCATGATTCTTAGTGGCTTGGTAGTTATGTAATGATGCAATTTGGGGGCTATGTAATGATGATGTCATCCTCCATTTTGAGATGTTATGGGGTCATCCTCCATTTTCACATAATACCGGTAGGGGTTTGGAACCTAACCATGTTGATAAGCAAGGAGTAGGTATACGTTGTGAATGTCAGTCCGTGTATGGCCCCTACCTCGATCTCTTTGGGGCTTAGAAAGTCACTAAGTGGGCATGGAGTGGACTATATGTAACTCTACAGGACAGAATGAAAGAAAGATGACAGAGTGCTTTGGGCCTTGTGCCAGGATCTCAATCCAATACCAATCACATTCTTGTCTGTAAAGATGTAACTTCTGTTCTGACTAGTGAGCTAACCCCAGATCCCCAACTTCTACCATCAAGGGCGGCTCAAAGACAAGACAGACACGGCACCGGTGTTAGCAACACACTTGGTTTATTATGAGTTAAGCTTTTGGTGCCAAATCCTGGTATGTTCTCTTGGTCTGGAAACTAGACCATGCACTTAGCTCATTCCAGGAGCCCTCGGGTAGAAATAGGCAAAATTGAGTGCCTGCAACAGCAGCTGCATGGTTAAGTTAGGGAAAAGAGCAAATGGGACAACTCTTGTTTCCTATCTAATAACGAGCACTCTCCCCACTAAAAGCTCCAACACCCACCACGGAAGTACAATTCTGTCCCTGTGAGAGTGTACTTGGATCCTGTTCCTCCTCTTTAGCAAACAGGCGAGTGGAAAACCTCTGGACTCTTCCCTCGGAGGTTAGGGTATGCAGCCAACAAGCACCTCTTCCATTAGTGAAGTCAATAGTGTTGATCTTGAAAAGAGGGTGTCACAGGTTTTCAGGCCCAGTTGAGAGAGACCGGCTGGAAGATCTGAGGGCAGACAACCACCGTGGCCCCGCCTTCCCTGACCGAGGGCACTGTGGCTGCAGCACAGCTTCTCACAGGGCCTGTACCAGAACTATGAGGCTCATTATTAGGGCCATGGAGAAGAAGATTCCCAGGAAGAATCGGTCCATCACACGGGCCAGGCGTTTCCAGTCCTCATGGCGGCGCTGGGCAGCCCGGTGGCTTCGGCAGGTGTTGGCAATGGTGGCTACATGGTGCAAGAGGGCTTCCTGGTGACATAGACACCGCAGCTCATGGCAAGGGCCTGCCAGGGGGCTGGCTTCTCCCTCAGGAGGCTGGGGGCTCCTCGGAGGTGACTCAGGTGGCCTGAATCGCCCACAGGGCTCCCCCCGTTCCCGAACGCACAGACCCCGTGCCAGGTGTCCCAGCAGGAAAGTCCGAGCCCAGGCCGGCACAGGGCGGGCATTGGGGCCACAGTAATGCAGGTTCATGATGAGAATGGTGAGCGCCGTGGAGAATGTGACCATGGTCATAGTGGCCATGTAGTACTTGCCTGCAGGAGAAAGAAGCAGCCGTGGCGGTGCTGTTGGGTAAACACTGGTCCACTAACCAGCGGTTCGGCGGGCGAAAGATGAAGCTATCTGTACGACTAACGACTTACAGACTTGGAAACCCTGGGTAGGGGTGCTATCCTATGAACCGGTGAACCGGAATCCACTTGGCAATGGGTTTTTTGGGTGCAAGAACGAGTGAGTCACCTTGCAACAAGAACTCAGGAGGTCTAAGTCGCCCAGCTGCCAAAGCCAAAAAAGGAACACACCCATGAAGTTCTCAGGAATGATGGAAGCAAGAGGAGGAGGTAAGGGCCAAGTTCTCTTCAACCCTCATTGCTACAAGTCATTTCTCACTCTCCCTGCTCCTCACTGTTCCTCTTCCTTGCTGGAGACTGCACTCACCCCAAGAGGGTCTCGTTTCCCTAACAATATGGACATGACCTTACACAAGATACTGCCCTTTCTGTACAGTGGGGATAACAATAGAACCTACCTCTTAGGCTTACAGTACCCAAATGGAACAAATGCCAACGTGTACAGTGATTCCTCATTTTACTTTCTCCTGCCCCATTAAATTCTTTTTTTTTTATTTATTTAATTAAGGCAGCTTGGTGGTGCCTGGCTATCAAAAGATATAGCATCTGGGGTCTTAAAGGGTTGAAGATAAACATGCGGCCATCTAGCTCAGAAGCAACAAAGCCCACATGGAAGAAGCACACCAGCCTGTGCGATCATGAGGTGTCGAAGGGATCAGGTATCAGGCATCATCAGAATAAAAAATCATATTATTGTGAATGAGGGGGAGTGTGGAGTGGAGACCCGAAGCCCATCTGCAGGTAACAGGACATCCCCTTATGGAAGGGCTGCCGGGGGAGCAGATGAGTCAGTCAGGGTGCAGTGTACCAACGATGAAAACATAACTTTCCTCTAGTTCTTAAATGCTTCCTCCCCCTCCCCATCCCCATCATGATCCCAATTCTACCTTACAAATCCAGCTAGACCAGAGGTACAGACAGGAACTGGAAACACAGGGAATCCAGGACAGATGATCCCTTCAGGACCAGCGGTGAGAGTGGCGATACCGGGAGCACGGTGGGAGAGTGCGGTAGAAAGGGGGAACCGATTACAAGGATCTATATATAACCTCTTCCCTGGGGAACGGACAACAGAAAAGTGGGTGAAGGGAAAAGTTGGGCAGTGCAAGATATGACAAAATAATAATTTATAAATTATCAAGGGTTCATGAGGGAGGGGGAGCCGGGAGGGAGGGGAAAAATGAGGAGCTGATGCTAGGGTCTTAAGTGGAGAGCAAATGTTTTGAGAATGATGAGGCAATGAATGTACAAATGTGCTTTGCATGATTGATGTAAAAGTATGGATTGTGATGAGTTGAATGAGCCCCTAACAAAATGATTTAAAAAAATTAAGGCAGCTTTATTATTAGAGTTTGCATTTCCCCATTAAGTTCTTGACCAAAGACCTACTCCTGCCCAATGTGTGGATGAGGAGTGACCTCCATCGAAGGGGCCTACTCCTCTCCCCTCAATCGCAAACGACGGTGTGCTCACAGGACGCACCCCCGGCCAGTGGCCACCCCTTGCTCCGCGGGGCTCCGCGCACCCCCGCCCCGCCCCCGCCCGCCGGCTTACCGATCAGGGGCACGCTCTCGGCCGGCGGCATGCTTTCTGCTAGGATCAGCTGGAAGACGGTGAGCGCCAGCAGCACGGTGACGCCCAGCGACACCTTCTCGCCCGAGTCCGCGGGCAGGTGGAAGGCCAGCGGGGCGAGCAGCGAGATGAGCACGCAGGGCAGCAGCAGGTTGCAGACGTAGGCGGCGGCGCGGCGGCGCAGCAGCAGCGTGAAGGTCACGTCGGGGTAGGGCTCGGAGCAGCAGCCGTACGTGAGCACGCGCCGCCGCGCCGGCATGCCCAGCACGCGCCACTCCACGTTGTCCACGAAGTCGGCCAGGCTGGCGGCGGCGCCGCGGCTGCGCACGTCCAGCTGGTGCCCGCCGTGCGTCCACGAGCCGAACGTCAGGCCGCAGCGCTGCGCGTCGAACGGGAAGGCCGACACGTCCACGCGGCAGGAGCTGCGCGTGATGGCCGGCGCGTCCCAGCGCACGGCGCCGTCGTTCCGCAGCACCACGTTGGTGCCGGCCGACGCCGGCGGCTGTGCGTCCGCCCTGCAGACGGACAGTGGGACGGGCTCGCTGAGGCCGCCAAGCAGAGAAGGGCCCGCAAGTGGGCCGAGGAGGGTGACATGCGCCAAGGGAACCCCGCGCCAAGGGAGCCCCGGTGGCGGCGTGGGTAACACTGGGGGGTGGGGGGTGGGGGCTCCTAACCGCAAGGTCTGTGGTAGAAACCCACCAGCCCCTCCGTGGGAGAAAGATGAGGCTCTCTGCACCCGTGAAGAGTTTCGAAACCCTGGGGGACCAGTTCGAGACCCTGGCCTTTAGGGTCGCTACGAGTTGGAATCGTCTCAATGGCGGTGAGTGTTTCGGTTTGAGCTTTTTGGAAGATAGAAGAACCCAGCAGAATTATAGCCGCAGGCCCCGAAGGGACACGCATTTGGCCCAAGGCATTAGTAAACACCTGGCAGCAGTGCAGGGGTCATCTGCCAAGGTCAGAGAGGAATCTGAGAGAACATTTGCAGAGCCCAGTTTGTCTGGGAGACCCCGCGCCCGCTTAGCTACAGCGCCATAGAAGGCATCTCTAGAGCACAGGTTTCCAAACGCATTGGCCCACCACACCCCTTTCAGGGACAAAATTACTCAGTGCCCCTCTTGGCAATGAAAACCTTTTGTACTTACTATAGCACATACTCCAGGGTTAAGTGTAGGCCTCTGATTTTGCGGCCCCCTCGGGTAGTTCCAGCGAGGATGATAGCAACCCCCTGGGAGGTGCTGGAACAATGGTTGGTTGTGGGTGGAGGGGGGTTCCTAAAGCAGATAAAAACCACTTTATCCCGGATTATATGAGCTGTAGTACAGCAGGTATTAATTGCCAGAGGGGCACTGAGTAATTTCCCACCCCCCTGAAAATGAGATGGTAGGCCAAATGCTTTTGGGAACTTTATAATAAGTTCCAGAGGACCAAAGCTCTGGAGGGAACACATCCACCCCCTAGGCAGGCTTCTAAAGGAGCCCAGATAGCCTCGGAGCTGGCCTAGGAAGGTGTGCAGGTACAGGAAAGAGGCATTTATGTCCCAGGCCTCTCTAAAGACACAAAACTGGCCCTCGGCTCCCAGGAATCATTCAGCTTGGTTTGGCCTGGGACCATCCAACGTGAGAGGCCATGAGGGAATTGGGGAGGCCGTGAGCTCCTGGAAGCTAAGAAGGGTCCTGGGGGACACGGAGAGCTTCAGGGCAACTGGTTAGGATGTTGGTAGGGAGTCCAGGGCAAGGAGAGAGAGGGGAGGGGCGGGGCCCAGGTGAGCAGTACTTGTTGTAGAGCACGATGTCTGGCAACCACACGAGGCTGCTGGGAATGCGAATGGCATCCAGGCCACCATAGGCATCTGGGTTCCATCTCAGGTACGCGTCTGTCCACTCCTGTCGGATCCAGAGGTACAGGGTCAGCACCTGGTTCCGCTCGTCCTAGAGGGGATCAGGGAGTGGACACTGAAGTGGACATGTGTATACACAGACCCTCCGCTGTGCAAGCACACTCATTTCCACAGCTGTGGTTAGCACCCGCAGGTCCAGCTTGCCCATGCTCCAGTACCCACCCAGCCCTGAGCTGGCTGTGTGACCTTGCTGTGTGTCTTCTGCAGGCCTCAGTTTCCTCAGCAGTAACATGGGGTGATCACCCCTGCCTAGCAGGAAATCAGGTCAATCAAGTGTGCACAGTGCTGGCTGGGCACATTGCCAGCCCCCAACAGTTAGTAGCTGTGGGAACTGTTTGTATCACGGTTCACAAAATTGTGTGGAGAATGTTCCCAGGCTCTCACCCTCTCATTCTCAGACATTGTTATAAGCTCACTCCATCATTGCACTACCTCCACCACCACAAACACACCATGTCAATGATCTGGGACAATGTCACCTCCAAGGTCACATTCAGAGTCTGGTCTGTGTCCGCCACAGGTCGCAGGGCGCTTGTGTAGTTTGCAAACAGGTCACGAAACAGCTTGTGAGCCAGCTTGCCCTCAGCTCCTGAGCATCCTGGGGGACCAGTAAGAAGGGCTATCTACCACAAGCCAAAGTCCGGGGGCCTCTCCACACCCTCCACCCTCACAAGGCTCAGCCCCTGTCCCCTGCTCCACTATCCTCTTGATGCCTGCCCCTCCCCCTCTAGCTCTGGCTCTAAACCCTCCATGGCCTGCCTCCAGGCACAAATGAGATAAAGACCACAGGGCAAGTTGGTCCCATCTCCCATCCCCTATGAAAGTCTCTTGGATCCTGAGCAACTGGAGGTTTCTGCCCCTCTGCCCTTTCTAAGGACTCACCTCGGTCTGCCTTGCCACAAATGCTAAAACCAGCTGTCCTCTAGTCTAATTCTGACACTTCCTGACCCCATGAGTGTCAGAGTGGAACTGTGTTCATAGGCATTTCATTAGCTGATTTGACAGATGCTGATCACCAGGCCCTTCTTCTGAAGTACCTCTGGTGGACTTGAACTTCCAACCTTTCGGTTAGCAGCTAAGCACGTTAACGGTTTGCACTGCCCCAGGCCTTTGCCGCAAATGCTAGAGGGACCCAAATACACCACAAGAATCCAAACTTTCACCCAGGCATTCTGAACCCCATCGCCCTCCGTTCGCTCAAGCCAGTTTCTACCTCCCTGGCACGGTTCTGTCGCTTTCTACAAAGTTTGATACCGTGGGCCACTTCCTCCTCCTGAAAACACCCCCCCCCCTCCAGCCCTTTGTGACGTGACATCCCAGGTGTGTCAGAGTAGAAATGTGCTCCATAAAGCCCCCGTGGCGGATTTCTCAGAAGTAGATTGTCAGGTCTTTCTTCTGAGGAGTCCCTGGGTAGATTCAAACCGCCAACTTTTGGGTTAGCAGCTAAATGTTTGCACCACCCAGGGACTCCCCTGGTCAGTCAAATCTAAAAACAGGAACCTCGACACTCAAGGTTATGTATAGGCATGACAGGACATTGTGACAAGTATACGTATTGATGTTGCAAATATGAATAGAGCATACAGCGGGCAGTTGTGAAAACTTAACTGTAAGCAAACACCTTGAGGGAATGAGTCACTGGAACTGGGGACCCAGGACCATAATCTCAGGGAACACCAAGGCCAGTTGGCATAGCCACAAAGTACTCTACATCGTACTTTGGTAAGTAGCAACTAGAGTCATAGAAGCTTGTGAACAGCCACTTAAAAGTTCAACTGTTGCCCTCTCCTTTTCCAAAGGAAGGAGAAGAAAAGGGCTCAGAAATAGGAAGTCAAAAGGACTACAGACCTTGAATGCCACCTTTCATGACCCGGAGACCAGAACTGAAAAGCTCTCAATGCTCTGAAAGGAATCACAATAGGTGATTCTGGATAGAGTGGGAGAAAAATGTGAACAAAACTCAAAATGACTGAAAAAAGGACCAGGCTTTCTAGTGTGCTAGACTGGCAGACCCTTGCCCCCAGACTATGGCCTTTATACACCCTTCAAGCATGGAACTGAACTCATCACTGTGTATCACCTTTCCGTCACACAACAGACGGGCCTGTAAGGCGAACCGTAATATCAGGGAGGCACGAACTTCTGCCAACCACTGGAAAAGGAAGCGGCAGCGTTCGGCAGGGATAAAGCTCAGAAGGCTGGGAGGACTGGGAAAGAAGGCCTCCGGAGGTATGAATATGGTAAACAGAGGGAGAAGAATGCTGTCACAGGGGATTGCCATCACCAAACAAAATCTGTATGGATGATTACACAGAAAACCAGTGTGCCCAAGTCACAATAAAAACTTGGTTGTTTTTAAAAACAAAAAAAGCCAATCTGATCTAGCCCATCGAGTGTGTAACATCTCCAGAACAAAGCCCAAACCCTTAGCTTGGCATTCAGAGCTCTTCATGATCTGGCTTCTCTATCCCCCCCAGTCCTGTCTCTGGAAGTCCCTCTCATGATTCCCACCCAAGCCAGCCAAGTGTCCTCTTACCTTCTTACACCCTTCCTCCATGATTCCCACCTAGAGTTTGTTCCCGGTGCAGGGATTGAAGAGAAGGCTAAGCAATGTGGGCAGTGTTTGGGAAGGACAACAGCAGTGGTGCCAGTTGAGGTCAGGGCTGGCGGGCTGAGCTAGCTTCATACCTGGCAGGGGCAGAAGCAGGAGCAGAAGGCCCCAACTGGAGCGGAGGAAGCTGAAGCTGAAGCGGTTCCCATGTTCCATGACCATAGCTGCAGTAAGTGGAAAGGTCTCGGTGTGCAGGGCCTCCTGGCCAGATCTAGGGCAGTGTTAGGCCTTTCTGGAAGGCAGAAGGCAGACTGAGATCCCTGCTGGGGTCAGCTACCCACCAGGAATCCCCCAGTTACCTAACTGTGGACTTCAGTCCTCCCTGGCATCTGCTGTCTCTTCTTCCCACCAGTCCTTACTCTCTTCTATGCCCCCCACCCCTATACCTCTCCTTCAGATCTCCTGTTGGTTTCCTTTGGCCTTTCCACCTGTAACTCTTTCTGGATCTCTCTCCCTCCTTCCCTGACTCTGTTCTTCTGCTCTCCATCTTCTCGTTCCCACTTCCTCCTGCTACTTCAGCCTCCCTGGCATCCCCTTTACCTCCTGCACCTGTGCTCTGGGTGAGCCTGGTGCTCTCTCAGCACAATAGGAGCCCAGCCTCATCATTGTTGAGGGGATGGAGGCACAGGACAGCAGAGCCCCTCCTTCTTAGTCCTTTTCATTAGCTTAATCACTGGGGACACTTGTGCCCATGGGAACAGAGCAACTGAAACTGACACCTCCGGCTACTGGGACCTGAATTATTCAGCAGGTGTAAAGCAACACGCAGGATCAGCTTAGTGGCCCAGCACGGGTGGGTAGAGAGCCCAGAGACACAAGTTATATTCTGGGGGCTATTGGAGCCAAAGGCCATGAGAGGTGGTAAAGTAAAATGTGCTCATCGGCTCGCCTATCCATGTCTAACTCCCACCAAAAGACTGGGTGGGACTATGCAAATAGGGCTTTGTAAAACACTGCTAGATGATTGGTAGTTTTAGTTGCCATTCCCTAAGCTATTAAGAGTGTCATCTCAGAAGCAGGAACAGAGAGAATCCAGGCACCATCAAGGTAGAAGAACTCTGGAACATCTTTGAACTCCCTGCCTAAAGTGAGACCAAGACCAGAGGCAACAGAGGCTGGAGGATAGAGACTGGAGACCATGGACAGAGCAAAGGAGCCAACCCGAGATAGAGCTGTGCCCCTGAGCCCTGAGGGCATGAAACAATGTGGTAGAGGAGCAAGTGGGCTTCCTGGTCCATAGGCAAAAGCCAAGGGACCGCATGAGGGAGAGTCTGAGGGCCAGAGAGAGAGTTGGTTGCTGGCTGAGGGAGAGGCACTGCGGTGGGCCACTGCTGTATCCGTACTGTTTAATGATCCTGACTTGCGGGATAGGGTTACTAGAAGTCCGAATCAACTTGAGGGCAACCAGTTTGGTTTTTTAGTTTGACTTGTGGTAACCTGTTAACTTTTCTAATAAACCCATATCATTGTATGGTCTGTGAGTTTTGTGTGGCCATTGCAATGGATAATCAAACCCAGCAAAGAAAGAGAGTACCATGGGAGGACAACTGGTGTCTGCATAGGTAAAGAAGGATGGAGGGTAGAGGCATGTCTTAGCTCTGCCTCTTGGCAGTTGGCAGTCAGCCTTGAGCACATGTGGAGATGGATTCTTCGCCCTTGTGGAGCCAGAGGAGGTCAGCTCTGGCCTCCATGCCTTTTCCACAGGGGCCAGCACTGGTAACTGCCCTACTAGCTTTGCTCCCATTGCCTGAATTCTGGGCGCTCCCTTAGACCTGCAGCTTCTTCCCACTGAGGAATTAAGTCCGGAGTTATGTGCCTAGCAAAGTCTCCGCTGCTGGCAGGGATGGTACTGACCCCCAGGCCGCTTCAGGGGGCCCCACAGCATGAGCTCTGGCCCACATCCTCTGCATAGTCACTGCAGCCATTGCAGTGGAAGCCTCAACCTTTTCTCCATTTTCAAGCACTGCAGGCAGTATGGAGTGATGGCAATAACAGTGTTCTGCAGCGATTCCTAAGGTTTTCACTGCCCAGCTTTTATTTTTTTTCCTTAAAAGATCATTTTATTGGGCCTTTTATGGCTCTTATAACAATTCATACATCAATTGTATCAAGCATGTGTATATATATATATTTATCTTTTAATTTCTTTTCTTTATTGGGGCTTTTACAGCTCATAAAATTCCATACATCAGTTGTATCAAGTGTATATGTTGCCATCATCATTTTCTAAACATATACTTTCTATTTGAGCCCTTGGTATCAACTCCTCTTTTTCCCTCCCTCCCCCACTCTCATGACCCCTTGAAAAATTATATATTATTATTTTCATATCTTACTTACACTGATTGCTGTCTCCTTTCCCCCACTGTTTCTGTTGTTCGTTCCCCTGGTGTGTGTGTGTGTGTGTGTGTGTGTATGTGTCAATCATTGTGATTGGTTTCCCCGTTCTCCCCCCACTTATTACCCTTCTGGTATCACTGTTCCCATTCCTGTTCCTGGATCCCGTCACTGACCAGCTTCACAAAGTCCACCTTCCCAGTCAGTCTTAGTCTCGGGACGTCACTGAAACCTGTCCATCTGGGTGAAACTACTGATACTGGAAATATTGGTGGGATAGTTTCCAGCATCCCAGCAACATTTAAGCCACCACAGTATAACAAGCTGACAGATGTGTGGCGTCAAGCTTCAAATCTGTTAGTGAGAGGGTAATCTGTGTTTTTGAGGAAGACAATTTGTGCTGGAACAATGTTCTTTAGAAGCTAGCATGGTGAGACTTCGGTCTCACATACTCTAGACTCATCAGAAGAGATCAATCCCTGGTGAAGGATATCGGGGAGGGTCAGTGACAAAGAGGAAGACCTTAGTAAGAAAGAGTGACAGAGTGAGTGCAATAATGGCAAACAGCAAGGCTCTTTACATCCTTGGACTAGGCCAGAGGGCATTCACTGGAGGCTTAATCCATTTGGAGACACTGCAAATTTTGGGCTTCCACTGTCATGGATATATATCTGTATAGTCTTCTGTAAACTGGGCATTCAGAATTTAAGCTCTGATACTGTTGCTGCCTTCGAATTGGAATCTTACTGTGTACAAAGGCTAGTGTGCTTCTTCCATGTGGCCTTAGTTGCCATCGCTCTTAGGTGACTGCTTGCTTGAAGACAAGCCTTCAAGACCCCAGATGCTTTCCTTTCTGTTAGCCGGGCACCATCGAGTTTCTTCCCCACATTTTGCTATAGTGCCCATCTCTTCAGTGATCTCTTGATGAGGGCATTATTGAGTAGGGCCACAGCATAAGAACTAATTATTCTTAGGCTAGGGTGATGATTAGGTGCAAGCCCCAAATTTATATAGATATAAATTTGGTTCACTTTAGAGACATCATTAACATTTTATAATCGAGAATATGGGGGACCAGACTTTCCACAATCAAATGGGTCCAAGGGGCGGTTGTGTAATTGAGGGGGAAATTAAAGAGACATGAGACAAAGTATGCAAGGGCTCACCTCTTCCATGGCAACAGGAACTAGAATGAAGTCATAATATATTCTCTCATGAGCTTGTCTAACCTTTGCTCAGCTATCAGTTGTGTCATCTAAAACAGAAGTGACCCTCTGAGATATTCCACAGTAAAGAATTAAAAAATCTAAGAAAGGAATGCTTTAAATTTTTGTACTTTGCTGAAAATTCTTTTTCCCAGGGTCTGTAAAATGTTAGTTTTTATATTTTACTTCAAAAACAAACAAAAAAATAATCTAGGACTAGCATTTTCTTGGCACATAAAGTTCAAAGTTCCCTTTACTTCAATTTTTTTTTTTTTTTTACATTTGGCAGTGTTTTTTTTCTCCCACATGTAAGGTTTTTGACCTTTAGGCATTTAGGTCTATGCATCATCTAACCTTTTCCTGAAGAATTCTATGCTCTTTTCTGTTCCATGTCAAAAGGGCAGTTTTTGTATCCTCAAGGGATTGATAATCATTGTTCCTTTTAAAAAATATTAAAATGTAGCAATAAGCTACATTTATTTAAACTTTTCATTGTGAATTGGGTGAACATTCAACAATTCATACTTAATCCAGATTGCAATCAATTGCAGCGTAACATCACTTATCCCACCTCCTGCTTCCATTCCTCTTCCTTTGCTAACTCTTCTGAACGTTATCTTTCGGTAAATGCTGCCTTTTTTATCTCAAGCGACTGATTATCCTAAGGTGTACTTACCTCAATAGTTATTTCCCTTATGCCATTCTTAGGTGCCCTGTCTGTGCACAACACAATGAAACATGGCCGTTCTGTGTCATCCTCACAATTGTTATATTTGAGCCTATCTAGGAGCCACTGTGTCAAGGGTCTTCCTCTTTTTTGAGGCCACACTAATTTCACTAAATATAATCTTCTCCAGGATCTGGTGTCTCCTGAGAACATGTCCAAAGTACATAAAATGAAGTCTCATTATATTCCCATCTAAACGCATTCTGGCTGTACTACTTCCAAGACAGGCGTGTGGGTTCTTTTGGGCAGTCCTTGGTACTTTACTTTCACTATTCTTTGCCAGCACCATAGTTCAAATGCATGGATTCTTTCTCAGTCTTCCTTATTCTGTCCCCTTTTCATATGCATAGGAGGCAACTGAAAATACCTGACCAGGGTCAGGAGCACCTGAGTCTTCAAAGTGATATCCTTGCTTTTCAACACTTGTACCAATGCAATGTGCCCTCTGATCTCTGGACCGCTGCTTCCATGCGCACTGGTTGTGGAGCCAACCAAGACCTCTTGACAACTTCAGTCTTTTCTCCATTTATCATGTCACCTATTGGTCCATTTGTGAGGATTTTTGTTTTCTTTATATTGAGTTGTAGTCCATATTGAAGGCAGCAGGCCTTGATCTTCATCAGCAAGTGCTCCACGCCGTCTTTCAGCAAGTAAGGTTATGTCCTATGCATATCGCAGGTTGTAAAGACGTCTTCCTTCAATCCCAATGCCGAGTTCTTCATAGTAATCAAGCTTCTCTGGTTATTTGCTCAGCACACAGATTAAGGATGGTACAAAAATTCAACCCTGAGGCACACCTTTCCTGATGTTAAACCATGCAAAATTTATTCCTTTCTTCTATTCTTACACTGCCTCTTGATCCAGGTACAGGTTACGGGTTACACAATAACACCAGGGTCCTGGAATTCTTATCCTTCTTAAGCTATCCGTTGTGGGTTATGACCCACACAGTCGAATGCCTTTCCATAGTTAGTAAAACACAAGTAAACATCTTTCTGGCATTCTCTGCTTTCTGCTATCCCTTTGTTCAGCGTCCTCTTCTGAATTTCTGGCAGCTGTCAATATTCTGCTGCAACGGTTGTTGAAGGATCCTCAGCAAAATTTTATTTGCATGTGAGAGTACTGTTGTTCTTATAAGCTGAGCATTCTGTTGGGTCACCTCTATTGGAAATGGTACAAATACGGACCTCTTTCAGTCAGTTGGTCAGGTAGCTGTTTCAAGTCTCTCGGTTTAGATGAGTGTTTCATCAGCCAGTGAAACGTTTCAGTTGGTTTTCTGTCATTTCTTGGAGCCCTGATTTTGGCTAATGCTTTCAGTGCAGCTTGGACTTCTTTACCATTTTCAGTACGATTAGTTCTGAAAAACGGTTGAATGTGGACAAGCACTTTTTGGCGGTTACTCTGTGTAGTTATTCCATCATCCTTTGATGCTCCCTGCACCAGTCAGTACACTCTTTCAGTACTGCAGCTTGAGGTTTGAAGTTTTCTTCTGTTGTTTCAGCTTAAGAAATGTTGAACTTGTTCTTGCTTTTTGGTTTTGTCTTTGCACACTTCATTGTAATACTTTGGCTTCTAGAGCTGCCATTTGAAAATTTCTGTTCAGCTTTTTAAGTTCATTTCTTCCATCTACTTTATGTACTCTACAATTAAGAGCAAGTTTCAGTTTGTTCTAACATTTTGACCTTTTTTTATTTCCTATGCTGTCTTTTTAAAAAATCATTTTATTAGGGGTTCATACAACTCTTATCACAATCCATACGCACATCAATTGTGTAAAGCTCATTTGTACATTCATTGCCTTCATCATTCTCAAAACATTTTCTCTCCACTTAAACCCCCGACATTAGGTCCTCATTTTTCCCCTCCCTCCCCGCTCCCCCCTCCCTCATGAGCCTTCGATAGTTTATAAATTATTATTTTGTCATATCTTGCCCTATCCGACATCTCCCTTCACCCACCTTTCTGTTTTCCGTCTCCCAGGGGCGGGGGGAACAGTTCCGTGTAATCGGTTCCTAATCCTATGCTGTCTTAATGTCCACAATTTTCCTTTTCTAGTTTCTATAATTTATCTATAGGTTCTAATATCCATTGCAATGGCTACACAGAACTCACAGACAAAATTAGTGATTAAATGGTTCATTAAGGAAGCTAACAAGTTGTAATGCCAGTGAGAAAATGTTCATGGTTGAGATGTCTATCAGGACATGCTTCAAAGTTCTGGTTAAGCCTGCTAACAAATGCCCAAAGGATATACCACTGTTAAACAAGCCTCAACCCAAAGGCATTCAGCTTAAGCTCTGAGTTAGCAAAGCTGGCTCCCTGAATTAAGTGCTCAGAGGCATCCTACTCCACAAGCCAGCCGCGTGCACAAAAGCACTCAGCTCTACTTGCTCCCTGGGTGGGGAAGTCCATCCCTGTTACATGCTTTGGCTCCTGGTTCTGCTGCAGCTCCTCTGATGGGATAGCTGTCATCTGGATCTAGGTTCACTGCCCAAGGCTCTCGAATCCAGAAGACATGCTCTATTCCTGGTCCGTGCTGGTAATAACCCTCCTCCTGCTTCTCGGTTCATTTTATACACAGCAGGATGGCACTCCAGGGAATCCTGCTCACAGTTACTTACAGGTTAATTCTCTCGGTGTCTTCCCTTCCTTCTTACCAGTTCCATGCAGGGAAAGATCGGTTGTTAAAGACTTGGCTAGAAGAGCCACATGAAATAACGCACAGTTCCAGCACAGTCTTTTTAGTGCTCGTTTGCTTTCTTCATGTATGATGTTCTTGATATCCCCACAGCTCATCAGGCTGTCATTACTGTTCAGTGTGTCAAATCTATTCTTGAGATGTTCTTGAAACTCAGATCAGATATACTCAAGGTTGTATTTTGGTTCTCATGGACTTTAAATTTTCTTCAGCTTCAATATGAATGTGCAGATGAGCAACTGTTGGTTGTTTGTCAGCCCCTAGCCTCATTTTAGTTGCTGATATTTGAGCTTCTCCATGGTCTCTTTTCACAGATGTAGTCAATTGATTTCTGTGTATTCCACTTGAAGGCGGCCACGGATATAGTCACTGCTTGTATTGTTGAAAAAGGTATTTGTGATGATGTCATGGTCTTGCAAAATTCATGGGATCTCCAGTTTAGTTTCTATCACTGAGTCCGTGTTTTCAAACTACCGTTCTTTCCTTTTTTTTCAAATTTTACATATCAATTGCCAATGATTATCAGTGCATCTTGATTTCACCTTTGATCAGTTTTAAGACTGAAGATGGTAGTAAAATTCTTCAATTTCTTCATCACTAGCTTTAGAGGTTGGGGCTTAAATTTGAATACTAGTTGTAGTGATTGAATTTCTTTGTATGTGGATAGATATTTCCCAATCACTGAGCATTGTACTTAAAGATAGCTCTTGACAAAATGGTGTTTTTTTTAATTTTAATAAATCATTTTATTGGGGGCTCTTATAACAATTCATACATCAATTGTATCAAGCACATTTGTACATATGTTGCCATCATCATTCCCAAAACATTTTTTAACATATATTTATTTTTAATCGTTTTATTAGGAGCTCATATGACTCTTACCACAATCCATACGTACATCAATTGCGTAAAGCACATTTGTACATTCATTGCCCTCGTCATTCTCAAAACATTTTGCTCTCCACTTAAGCCCCCGGAATCAGGTCCTCATTTTTCCCCTTCCTCCCTGCTCCCCCCTCTCTCATGACCCCTTGATAATTTATAAATTATTTTGTCATATCTTGCCCTGTAAGCAAATGAGGTGAACAAAGCAGATGGTGCCCCAAAATTAAAAGATACAGCATCTGGGGTCTTAAAGGCTTGAAGTTAAACAAATGGCCATCCAGCAATGAAGCAACAAGCCCACATGGAAGCATTACACCGGTGTGATCATGCCGTGTTATCGGGACCAGGTTAACAGGCCATCAGAAGATTCATAACAAACAACAAATAAAAACACATTGTTGAGAACGAGCCGGATCGAAGTGGAGGCCCAAAGCCCATTTGTAGACAATGGAACATCTCCCCACAGAGGGGCACAGGGAAGGGATGAGTCAATCAGGGTACAGCAGAGCACCAATGAATCACACATTCCTCTGGTTTCTTGAGGCTTCCTCACCCCCCACTGTCATGAATGACTCTAGTGCTGCTTCTCACTCTGGACTGGACCAGAACATGTACACAGGTATAGAGATAAAATGACACACAGTACCCAGGAACAGGAATAACACCAAAAGAGTACAGGGAGGTGGGGAGGAAAGAGGAACCAACTGCAATCATTGGCACATAAACACACACACCCTCTACAGGGGGAAGAACAAAACCAGATGGGAATGGAGACAGCAGTCGGTGTGACATATGAAAAGAACTTATACTCTATTAAGGGGCCATGAGGGTGGGAGGAGGAGGGAGGGAAGAAAAGAGGTGCTGATACCAAATAGAAATAGAAATAGAAAATGTCTAGAACAATGGCTATATATGTATAAATAGATCTGATACAGTTGATGTATGGATTGTAATGAGTTGTAAGAGCCCCTAATAAAATCTTCAATTAAAACGGACCAGAATTCAAAGTAAAATTTCATCTTAAAAAAAAACACTCTTGAAATGTCTTTTGGCAATAAATGCGATGCCTTCTTGAACTTTCTTTTGAATTCCTCTCAACTGTGAGCCATGATGTGAGTTCATTTCCAGACCTAAGCATGACTGAAGACCAGTCTTAAGGGTCCCATTTGTTTCTGTCCAATTAAGCCTGGTGTTGTTTTATGATTTTGTTTTGTTCCACATTTTCTCCTACTCTCTCCAGGACTTCCAAATGTGACCCTTTTCGGAGCAGTTGGTATAGTGTAGCTGGGCTAATGGTTTCCATGTGTTTTTTCTTTCCTCCAGACAGGGAGAGACCAATAGTTGCTCCTTTTAGTGTTGAGTTTTGGGAATCATAACAGAAGGCAAGATTAGGACTGTGAAGAGTAGATAATTAGGCTTCCCAGTAGTGAAAGGGGAAACAAATTCCCTAGGCATTCATTTTTTTCTGGCCTATTTCTCACCAATGCAATTTTCCACTTTCTTTTTAAAACCTCTTCTGAATAAGCCCCCATGAACTGGCCTTCATCTTTAAAGGAAACTGACCATTGAAGACCTTTTATTTAAAGGCAGCCTAAAAGTCCCAAACCACTGCTATTGAGATGATTTTGAAACATAGTGACCCTACAGGACAGTAAATCTTTACAGAAGCAGACAACAGCTGGTGGGTTTGAGCAGCTGACGTAGTGATTGGTAGCCCAATACCTAACCCAGTGGTTCTCAACCTTCCTAATGCTGCGACCCTTTAATACAGTTCCTCACGTTGTGGTGACCCCCAACCATAAAATTATTTTCATTGCTACTTCATAACTAATTTTACAACTGTTATGGATTGGGTGACCCCTGTGAAAGGGTTGTTTGACCAGCAAAGGGGTCACCACCCACATGTTGAGAACCACTGGTCTAATATAACCTACAGGGATCCTTTGACAAGACTAAGACAGGTGTTACTGCAGAGATTTGTTTAAACATGTTTTATTTGGAATAAACCCATCCATATATGAACTGGAGCCTTCCTCTTTTTTGCCTTAGCCTCCAAGTGGAAAGCTGGGCATGAAAGATAGATACTTCTTTCTGCATTACTTTCTTCAGCAATTATTAATTCATTTGGGGCAAGGCTTTTATTTTATTGTGGTTTGGGCAAAAGTTTATGGAACAAATTGGTTTCCCATTCAACTATTTATGCACATTGTTTTGTGGCATTAGTTGCACTCCCCAAAGTGTATCAGAAATTCTTCTCACCCCTTCCCTGGGTCCCAGTCACCCATCTTTGCTGCCCTTTTGATCCTGTACGGTTGACTGTTCTGAGGACTATTCTTTATCTAAAAGGTGATCTCCAGGAGGGCAATAGGTTCAGGACTGAAGGGGTCTAAGGGCCATCCTCTTCCACCAATCTAGACTACCAGACCAGTATGTATAGTCTTTATGATTTTGAAGTTTTTATTAAGGCTATTTTGCATGCAAATGGCTCTTAAAAATATTTGAAATAGAAGCACAAAACAAAGGTGAATTTCAATAATACTTGAAAATATGTGGAAATAGGCCAAGTTATACAAAATGCCTTTTCATGTCCACTTGGGTTCATCTAAACATGCACAATCAAAAATCTTTCTGTACTATCATTTGTTTTTTTAGGGTAACGTGGTTGGGGGAAAAAAGTCAAAACACTTCCTATCACGTGTTGGGGAAAATATGAAGAAAGTGAAAAAATTAGCTGGGTACCTTTTAAAAGGAGTCATTATAGTAAAAATAAAAGTAAAAATCAAGAACTTAGTTTACTGTTTTAAGTCTTTATTTTGAAAATGAGAGCACCACATCTAAAAAAGATAATGGATATACAATAATGAAATAATAATCTTGGCAATGATAATCAGTAGGTGAAAAATTGATGGGAAGCTTAGTAAAGGCTGAACCAAGCTGGTAACACCTGAACCAACAATCTTACAATCAATCACATAAGTAGGATAGCCAGACACTGTGTCTTCTAAAGTACACATCATTACTTACGAGAAGTCCCTGGACCTTTAACCCAAAGGACAAATGACCAGCTACTTCAGTATAAATAAATGGTACTAAAAACATGACGGGGCTGTTAATAATAGACTAAGGGACTTATCAAATGCAATTATGTGGATCAGCGTAGATCAATTAATTCAATAAATTCAAACTGTAAACATTTATTTTTGAGACAACTTAGGGAAATTTGGACGTGGATTCTTAGCTGATATCTAGGAATGATTATAATTTTGTTAGGTGTGACAGCAATACTGTCGTGTATAAAAATATACTTATCTGTTAAAAACGTTTAGGTTTCGATGGATTAAAAACATTTAGAATATACCACTGTGCAGTGGGGAAGGAATGAGGGTAGTAAAGGTGAAATTGATTGGAAAGTAAGACATAAGTTGAACATGGGATCATTACATTATTTTACTTTGTGTAGATGAAAATTTCTACAATAAAAGACTTTTAAAAACCCTGAGGGAAGCATCAGAAATGAATGTTTAAAGCTGAAATTAACATCTTATAATACAGAGCTCCAGTAAAAATTATCAGCAAGTCTAAAAGCTGGTTCTCAAACAATACTCATTGAAACCCAAATCAGGAAAAGATAAAGCAAGCACAACTGTATATAATTAGGGATTAGACAGACCCTAGATAGAGAAGAAATTGAAGAGTCATTCATTAAACTTGAAAATCTAGAACAACCTTTTAGAAAGAACAAAGCTGAGTCAAAGTGAAAAAAACCATATTAGTAATTACTCTGCAGGCCTTGGTTCAGCTAATTTAACCTTTAACACCTGCCCCCCCCCAAAAAAACACAAAAAAAACACAACCCAACCAACCAACCAACCCACCCGATCTTGGCATTATTTCAGAGCTTGCTGAGGAAATACTTTATTTTGGTGTTCCTATCACCCGCATGAGGTTGTGGGTTCCAGTTGTTTTTAGAAAATAGGTTCCTTGATTTTGGATTTTTGAGAAATTCTTTTTTCAATAAGATCTTGGGAGGTAGAAGAGATTTTCTTCATCTTTTGTCATTTCTAATTTGGCTACAGTACATGATTTCTACGATAAACAGACTTTATTTAAAGCTCCCTTTTTTGAGTCTAAAGAAAATAGTAATTGCCCAAAGAGGGCATGATGTAATGTTCATATTCACAATTACTAACACTTTTAAAGACTAACAACTTCTAGAATAATTTTTCTCAAACCACTTAATTGGGTGAAGAAAACAAATCAGAAATTCATTGTGAAACCCTGGCAGTGCTTTAGGACAGACACAGTGAATCATTAATTGCAGTGGGAAGGTGAGGAATCCCAGTTGAATAGCCCTTGTTCTCAATTTAAAGGGACGCCCTATTCAAAAGGCATACTTGAGTCTCCTTTCACATCAATTCCTTGGAGTCCCCAAGAAGGCTTTGACCTGATACTAACTGGAATTTGCTCATATTTTCAGTTTATCAAAATAAGGTATGAATAGTATGTTAACAGCTTACCATTAGTCTCTTTCTACAACATCCTTGTCAATTGGCAACATCAGGGTTCCTTCTGCCCCTTACACACAGGAGAAAACCAAAAAGTGAAGTGTGTGACCCAGGGTTTAAAAATAAACAAAAGCATTAGTAGTGAGAATAGCAAGGAGACTTTGAATGCTAAGTATATTTCACTGTGCAATTTCAGACGTCTACCTTATCCCCCAGCTGGGAATCGCTATTTACATACAATATGTACAGCAGGCAGGATTATTCAGTAATCTCAGCCCCCTTCCCTATAAATCTCCATTTAGATAGCTCTTGGTATGGTGTCTCTCAGTTTAGCATCAAATTGTTCTCTCTTCACCTCATGGCCTGTCTCGGGTTGTACACTCTACAACAATGGGCTAAACAAGGCCACCAGAAAGATCCTCAGGGCAGGAAAGCTCAAAAATACAATGGGAAACCCAATTATAAGAATGCTATAAACATTTATTATTTTTTTAAGAAAGTAGCTTCAGAAAAAGAAAATAATCTAGATTATTTATTTATATATATTTATATATATATGTTTTAATAAAAATCTTTACATAATCTTCATGCATAAAGATCCCAGGTGACCATGTTGTCTGTGACAGCCTAGGCCCCAGCTATCTCCGGACACTACCTAGGGGCTCCCCAGAGCTGGTGACAGTGAAGCACAGGCTCTCTGCTTGCCCCTAGCGCCCAGCTCCTTGCCCGCATCAGTGATGGTTTTACCTTCGAGGAGGGCAAATGGAGGGTAGGAGATGCTTTGGGGCTAGAATGGAAGTCCTAAGGAGGGCTATCCAACCTTCCACTTTTTATCTTCAATCAAATCCAGACAGAAGGTCTAGCAAGGTGACCAAGAACTAGGGGCCAAACCAAATTCTGGGGGTTTTAAGGTCCCAAAGACATGGGGCATGTGATCCAGGGCTGTTGCACCTAAGGATGGTATGGTGCACATGGAACATTCTGGGGCAGGAACAAAACAAGCATGAAGATTGATCCTTCCACGGCACGTACTCACTTATATCAGAACACTCTGACCGGCTTCCTAACTCAACTTTTGATGCCCCAAACCCAATGATTACAACAACTTAAAGACAATTTCCTCCTCCTACCGTGGCAGCTATCTGGTAAGGACATACCCAGACCAACACAATTGTCCCATGACCTGTCAACTCCTTCTAAAGAGTCCAAGCACAAAAGGACAACAGGGTGGCATGGAGGGTCACAAGACCCAGAATGGCTGGATGTGAAAAAGGATTCTGTTGTTCTTTGGGGGAACTTTATTCACCATCTTTAAAAAGGGTGGGAGGAACTGAATGGCCTTGAGGAAGGTAAAAGGACACTTGGCTCCTTTCTTGGGTTCCAGAGCCCTTACACTATATTCATTATTAAGAAAATTCCTGTGCAAGTAGAGGACGCTGGTTGGGCAGCAGGCAGGGAGGGTGGATTCCAGAGCCCAACACAGAGAATACAAGGACTGCCGTGTGGTGAGTGTGAAAGAGCATGTGAATGTGGTGGCAAGAGCCTACGACTCATTGGCTTCCAACCGTCAGTTCTCGCAGGTAGGACTGTGTGAGGCTGCGTAGCTCTTCCAAGGCATAGTCTTCAGGCATGGGCAGTCTGCCGATGTGGGGAGCCAGCAGACGCAAAGGGACTCGCTGTGGGTCTGCTGTTGAGTCAGAGGTTGTATCAGGGGAATGCTGGAGGCTCAGTACCACCCGCAGTAGGTTTGCTATACGTTTGGCCATGTCTACAAAGAAAAAATAGAGCAAGCACTGAGGATGGGGTGGAGAAGTTAGGGCTGTGGTAACAATCATAGATGTAGGAAGGAGGTAGGCAGGACAAGGAGAAATGTGAAAGGCTTACCTGATTGAGCCAGGCGGTCCTTGGCGTTGTAACACTGGATCTGCTCTATCCGGTTGCACAATGAGGTCACTTTGGTATGTAGCTGCTCCAGCTCATAACTTGAGCAATCCACCTGCACAGAAACAGGTAAACTAATTTAGGTTAATCTTACTCGCAGACTCTCTATGCAAAACCCATAAACAGTGAGGGAAGGGGGTAAGAAATCCAAGAAGCTGCTTGGAAATGTGAGGGAACCACCAGGCAGCCAGGAGGACAAGGTACTATGGTTAGCAATAGCACCCAACAGTGGACATAACCCTGCAACTGAGCAAGTCTTGAGATTACTATTCATGAACACGTGACTAGCAAGCTGTAATCTGGCACAAAAAATAAATCTAGTTCTCAGATATATATATATATATGGCTTCTAAAAGAGTACTGAATTTTTTTTTAAGCGCATACAGATTCTCAGGAGGAGAAACAAATTCACCATTTAATTTAGGTCTCCTCACTCCCAAATTCATAGCCTTTTCGAAAATACTGCAGTCTTCTTTCTTACTCTTAATACCGTATATACTCGAGGATAAGCTGACCCAAGTATCAGCTGAGGCAGCTAATTTTACCACAAAAAATACATTAAAAATGTGCTGAAAAAACTCAGCTTATACACTAGTATATACAGTAATTCTTTCCCTATGTTGCAATCTACTCCTATGATATGAATCTAATATAGGCTAATCTTGAGCTCGAAGTCATTAATAGCTAACTCCCTGAATACTTCTATTTTGTTATCTCATAAAAACCCAAACATAATTTTCTGCATCTGAACTCACAATCCTCACCCACTTTTACCATATCTGCTCTTCTTCCAGCCAGTGCTACCTGCCTTGGTAAATGGTACTACCTGGACATCAGTCTTCCTTCTCTTTCTTCCCCGTACAGAATTACTCTGCTGCTGCTGTCATTTCTTACACGTCTCTTTCCAGAGCTCAATTACCCCTTCTTTATCATTCTACCTTCAGTGTCATACAATCTACATCTATTTTCCTCCCACTTTATAGCCTATAATCTTTCTAAAAAATCAGTATTTTTAACTCAATGCTTATATTCTGATTACTTTTCAGCAGCATTTTACTTTCATGTGTCTCAAATAGGGTTCTTGGCTAGGCCCTCTCGCAAATTCTTCCAGTGAATCATCTGTGTACTAAGTTCCTTTTTACCTCCTCCTCTTCCAAATGGCTCACTCAGCCCTTCTAAGAACTCTCTCATTGAGTACACATTTTATTTAGGGGTTGGCAGTTTACTACTTAATGTCTATACAGATACTGTTCATTTCCCCCACCAGAGGCCAATCAGTCTTCACCTTGGCTTAAAAATGTAGTGAACAAGGTGAGATGATGTTTTCTCATAATATTCACAGAAAATTAGATCAGTAACCTTGAAGAATCATAAGCCACCTAAATAATTCAAATAAGTAGTTAGAAATTATGGGCTCTTCCTGAATTACAAGGGTCAATTCATCTGTCTAGACAAAAAGAACAGTTAGTACAAAAGCCCTCCAGTGGAAACTGAAAGATGTGGGTATAGAACAAGGGAATACTGAAGCTGGCAGGGGCCAAATTAAATAATACAAGGGATCTGAACCTAAGATCTTCAACGGGTTTGTGAATTTAGATTGGGGGGGGAGGGATGTGGTTTCCTAACGGCTAACTAAAATTTAATGTTTCATTTAATTATGAATGCAGGAGTCAACTGTAAATATCAACTTTCCACCAACAAAAATCACAGCTATTTTCAGATTATTTTTTAGCCAAAGACCTTAAAATATAGAAGTCTTTCTCAAATCACTCAGACTAAAGGAACTGCCTCTATTTGAGGTGCTGAGTAGTGTTTACTCAGTCCTCTTGTAAAATAATTTATGATTCCACTAAACTCTTAATACATGAGGGACACACATAGCTACCGTGTTTCCCCGAAAGTAAGACATCCCCTGAAAATAAGACCTACTTACAGTTTTGCCTCTCGCTGAAATATCAGGAATCCACCCGAACTAAGGCCTCCCTGATAATAAGCCGCCCCCCCCTCCCCCAAAGCTACCGTAACTCTGAACTATAGACCATAGTGGCGGGTGCGACTGCGCAGCTCACTGTTGGCCGCAACACAGTCGGAGCAGGCAGGAAATGCGAGGTCTCTTTTAATTAGGTCAGCAACGCTGCCAGGACAAGCTGCCGCCTGCTGCTTGCTCTGCCCTGATGGAGTCTGGCTGACTCACAAGTTAGTGAATTGCGTGGGGCAGGAGTCGAGCACATTGTATGGACACACAGTGACTGAGGTAGGGGGGAAATGTCTGATAAAGGGGTGGGGGTAATGTCTGGTGAAGGTGTACACTGGCACATGGGTGGGGGGAGGGGTATCACTTAAAATGGCACTGGGGTATCACTTAAAATGACACAGGAGGATCAGAAGGGGTTGCAAAATGGTAACACCCCCCACCCCCCGATTCTCCTGTCATTTTGATTCCCCCCTTTGATCCTCCTGTGTCATTTTAAGTGATACCCCTCCCCCCACCGATACCCCAGTGTCATTTTTTTTTAAAAAACCCTAGACATGAGCGCAAAAAGAAAAGGCTACTCCAGAGTACAAGAAAGGAATCATGGGTCGAAATCTTACTGCTTTCTGTAAAGAGAAGATGTTGAGTATCCGAGTGGTCCGAAAATGGCGAGCAGAGTAT